GGGCACCGACCCACGGGACATGTGGCCTCGTGGGCGGCTGCGGTGGCGCGCGGGTGCCAGGCGGCGCAGCCACGGAAGCGGCAGGGCACCAGCGCGGCGGGGCAGGAGCGGAGGTAGTGGTGGAGGAGGGCGGTCTGGGAGGGGAAGGAGAGGCCGGGGCAGTGCCTGCGAGGTCGCGAGGTGGGACGCGGGGAGGTAAGCATGAAGTGGTGAGGTGAGCGCGTAGCTGCAACTGCACGCTGCAACTGCCTAAGCTTGTTGAGTTGCGACGGTGACAAGCATAGCACAGTAACAAATGGCGAGAAGTTGGTGATATCGGGTCATGTAGGCCTTGGTAGCCCCACTGGATGCCCCGTCAATGTCCACCATATTTCCAAGCAGCACACGGCCTCTTCCGTACCTGCAGGTACCCCCCATACCCAGCGCATCCATGACCGCCATGACATTATGGTTGCTCAGGTAGGCGCTGTCAGGGCTGAGCAGCCGGGCGTCAACGCGGGTGGAACGGCATATAAGGCAGGACGCAAGTCCATTAGTGGACTGGAAGCGCTCGCCAGGAGGGCGGTGCAGCTGCAGGGCTTCGTTTGCGCAATGGGTGCAAAGCACGGCGCGGAGGCAGGTAGAGCCTGCGGGCGGCCAGGGAGCAGGATAGAGGAGCAGGTAGACTTAGGAGAAGATATGAAGCAGTGGAAGTTAACAGTGTGAGATAGGAGAAAGACTACGGTAGACTGCGTAAAGGGCGTCATAGCTGACTCCAGCCAGCCCGACCAGCAGAACTCAGTGGAATGCAATTATAACGCTTTTTTGATTGGGGTTAAGCAAATTATTTCATTGACAATAACGGTCGGAGTCCTTGAGGCTCGAAGAAGGCCGTGAAGCCGGCGATTGCATGCCTAGCTTGTGTTCAATAACAGGTGCAGCCAGGGACCCTACCTGCCGAAAAGCGGCCACCGCACCCTCTAAAGCATACAAAGTTGACTGGTAGTTGCGCCGGCTCCAAGCAAATTGGGCACATTAGCTCCTCTGCAACCCTCTCTAACGCCAGGGGGGCCAGAGAGGTCCCTCCATTCCTGGAAATTCCTCTTAGAAGCAAGACAGGATATCATTACAAAACAATGCATCTAATCAGGGGGATGCATCCTGTAGGCGTTCTACTCCATTTCCAACATGGTTCTATCTGGGCGTCACAGGGGTAGCAAGAGCATTCTCGCAGCATGCGATACGACTACTTACAAGAAAATGCTAAAGGCATACACAGCATCGGCTGCATTTCCAGAGGAGTTACCTGCTCGTACGGTCGTAACTATGCCATGGCCGCAAGTGTGCGATCACATGGATGCTGCTTCACGCGGCCATGGACGCGTAGGATTATGCGTTCGACAATTGTGGCATTACGCAGATGCGTTTGCCGGAGTAATCAAGCTTTTGGCACAGGGCCATAGACCAAACGACAGTTAGATGCTGCAATTAACTTTGTCATAAATAATTGGACGTGCTGCTGGACTGTGATCAGCGAATAGTCCAGCTGCAATGCAGGCGGCCGGCATTCTCCGGCGCCGTGCTGCACGGCTGGCGCAGCGTCGACATCCCGTCCAAGCTCTATTAGCTATGTGGGGATTAGGCATAGGGGCCTGCATGGGCGTCGGCTTGTCGGCGCCTTGCCCGGCAAGGGGTCAAGACCTTGTGGTGCCGGAGAGAGCTGCGATTTGGGCGACCCGACAGGTGGATGCTTAGCCCTAAACCATTTAATAAATCATAATTGAATTGGCTGAACCCCTCGGCCACCACCTGGCGAAGTGTCTGAGTCTGGACCCCCACTTGCACCCAAACCCTTAAACTTGCACCTTTAACAGGTCGCACTCCAAGCAGCTCCCGAGGCGCAAGGGCCCTCTGGCGACCTTGACCCGTCCATTGCCGGGTTGCCTAAGCGACAGGTAGGAATGCTCTGGGCAAAGCATGAAAGGGCCAAGCTGCGTTGCTTAGCCCATATTCGATCTAATACAGCCCACGCTCCTTTTGCCCAACTTGCCAACAACCCTTCAAACCCATTTCCCAACCCTGCCTCCCAGCTTGCTGCCATGGCCCTGTCGCCGCTAGCGGCCCTTTCCCTACCGTTGGTCAACGACCCCACATGGCAGCAATCCCTAGCTGCTTTCAGCGAAAAGCTGCGCGGTTCGTTGGCGCAGTATGAGGATCAGGCGGCGAATCTTGTACGGCAGTTGGACGAGCAGATCACGTACATGGATTGGACGTACGGTGTGACCGGCATTGACCTGTCAGCGGTTTGGGATCCAGAGCTGGGGTTCGCTTTAAGGAGGCGGTGGCGCAGAACGAGCCGGCCATCTTCCTGAACAAGCTCCTGGATCGAGTGCAGTACAGTAAGTTCGTACGGCTAGCTAGGGTGGCGCACGCAATAGTTACCAAACACTGGTTTTACATTCCACGGGCGCACGGGCGGGTGTGGGAGGCAGGGAGGGGGCGATGTTTGGAGCTGGTGAATGCTAGGTCGGGGTTGTGTGGACGCTGGAGAGCGGCAAGGGCATATCTACAGGGAAGGCCTGATGACGCCCTCCCCTAGTCCCCGGGGGCTTCAATCCCACCAGCGGCAACGGAGGCGTGCGGGGAACAGGGGCAGCGACGACATCAGGAAGGTTGTGCTCCTCTCAGCGGCATACGTGCAGCACAACAAACAACAGCAGCAGAGTGGGCAGTAGCAGCAGCAGCAGCGGTCCGGAGAGCTGCCGTACCCTGACGTGTCAGCAGCGGCGGCGGTGCGGTGCAGCAGCAGCAGCGGCAGCACGCCCCGTTGTATAATACGGTGATACCGGTGGTATCCAGACGTGCCGGCGTACAACGACTGGAGCAGCACTGCTGTCCCAGCGTTCAGGAGTCGCGGCAGCGGCTTTCCGAGCTGAGGGCAGAGGGGGGGAGAAAGCAGCCTGGAGCCGGGAGTAGCTGCCGCAGTGGGTGGTAGCGAGAGTGGGAGTGAAGCGGGGCACACATGCGGGCGCGGCATGCGGTCGTGCAGGGCCTGTGGCCGCCACACGGCTGCGCTGCTGCTGCTGGTGCGGGCCCGTGTGAGCAGCAGCATGCAGCAGCCGTGTGGCGGCCACCAGGCCCTGCACGACCGCATGCCGCGCCCGCATGTGTGCCCCGCTTCACTCCCACTCTCGCTACCACCCACTGCGGCAGCTAGCTCCCGGCTCCAGGCTCTTCTCCCCCCCTTGCCTCAGCTCGGAAAGCCGCTGCCGCGACTCCTGAACGCTGGGACAGCAGTGCTGCTCCAGTCGTTGTACGCCGGCACGTTGGATACCACGGTATCACCGTATTATACAACGGGGCGTGCTGCCGCTGCTGCTGCTGCACCGCACCGCCGCCGCTGCTGACACGTCAGGGTACGGCAGCTCTCCGGACCGCTGCTGCTGCTGGACTGCCCACTCTGTGCTGTTGTTGTTGTTGCTGCACGTATGCCGCTGAGAGGAGCACAACCTTCCTGATGTCGTCGCTGCCCCTGTTCCCCGCACGCCTCCGTTGCCGCTGGTGGGATTGAAGCCCCCGGGGACTAGGGGAGGGCGTCATCAGGCCTTCCCTGTAGATATGCCTTGCCGCTCTCCAGCGTCCAAGCACAACCCGACCTAGCATTCACCAGCTCCAAACATCGCCCCCTCCCTGCTCCCACACCCGCCCGTGCGCCCGTGGAATGTAAAACCAGTGTTTGGTAACTATTGCGTGCGCCACCCTAGCTAGCCGTCGAACTTATGTACTGCACTCGATCCAGGAGCTTGTCAGGAAGATGGCCGGCTCGTTCTGCGCCACCGCCTCCTTAAAGCGAACCCACAGCTCTGGATACCAAACCGCTGACAGGTCAATGCCGGTCACACCGTACGTCCAATCCATGTACGTGATCTGCTCGTCCAACTGCCGTACAAGATTCGCCGCCTGATCCTCATACTGCGCCAACGAACCGCGCAGCTTTTCGCTGAAAGCAGCTAGGGATTGCTGCCATGTGGGGTCGTTGACCAACGGTAGGGAAAGGGCCGCTAGCGGCGACAGGGCCATGGCAGCAAGCTGGGAGGCAGGGTTGGGAAATGGGTTTGAAGGGTTGTTGGCAAGTTGGGCAAAAGGAGCGTGGGCTGTATTAGATCGAATATGGGCTAAGCAACGCAGCTTGGCCCTTTCATGCTTTGCCCAGAGCATTCCTACCTGTCGCTTAGGCAACCCGGCAATGGACGGGTCAAGGTCGCCAGAGGGCCCTTGCGCTCGGGAGCTGCTTGGAGACCTGTTAAAGGTGCAAGTTTAAGGGTTTGGTGCAAGTGGGGGTCCAGACTCCAGACACTTCGCCAGGTGGTGGCCGAGGGGTTTCAGCCAATTCAATTATGATTATTAAATGGTTTAGGGCTAAGCATCCACCTGTCGGTCGCCCAAATCGCAGCTCCTCCGGCACCACAATGTCTTGACCCCTTGCCGGGCAAGGCGCCGACAAGCCGACGCCCATGCAGGCCCCTATGCCTAATCCCCACATAGCTAATAGAGCTTGGACGGGATGTCGACGCTGCGCCAGCCGTGCAGCACGGCGGCCGGAGAATGCCGGCCGCCTGCATTGCAGCTGGACTATTCGCTGATCACAGTCCAGCAGCACGTCCAATTATTTATGACAAAGTTAATTGCAGCATCTAACTGTCGTTTGGTCTATGGCCTGTGCCAAAAGCTTGATTACTCCGGCAAACGCATCTGCTTAATGCACAATTGTCGAACGCATAATCCTACGCGTCCATGGCCGCGTGAAGCAGCATCCATGTGATCGCACACTTGCGGCCATGGCATAGTTACGACCGTACGAGCAGGTAAACTCCTCTGGAAATGCAGCCGATGCTGTGTATGCCTTTAGCATTTTCTTGTAAGTAGTCGTATCGCATGCTGCGAGGAATGCTCTTGCTACCCCTGTGACGCCCAGATAGAAACCATGTTGGAAATGGAGTAGAACGCCTACAGGATGCATCCCCTGATTAGATGCATTGTTTTGTAATGGATATCCTGTCTTGCTTCTAAGAGGAATTTCCAGGAATGGAGGGACTCTCTGGCCCCCTGGCGTTAGAGAGGGTTGCAGAGGAGCTAATGTGCCCAATTTGCTTGGAGCCGGCGCAACTACCAGTCAACTTTGTATGCTTTAGAGGGTGCGGTGGCCGCTTTTCGGCAGGTAGGGTCCCTGGCTGCCTGTTATTGAACACAAGCTAGGCATGCAATCGCCGGCTTCACGGCCTTCTTCGAGCCTCAAGGACTCCGACCGTTATTGTCAATGAAATAATTTGCTTAACCCAATCAAAAAAGCGTTATAATTGCATTCCACTGAGTTTGCTGGTCGGGCTGGCTGGAGTCAGCTATGACGCCCTTTACGCAGTCTACCGTAGTCTTTCTCTATCTCACACTGTTAACTTCCACTGCTTCATATCTTCTCCTAAGTCTACCTGCTCCTCTATCCTGCTCCCTGGCCGCCCGCAGGCTCTACCTGCCTCCGCGCCGTGCTTTGCACCCATTGCGCAAACGAAGCCCTGCAGCTGCACCGCCCTCCTGGCGAGCGCTTCCAGTCCACTAATGGACTTGCGTCCTGCCTTATATGCCGTTCCACCCGCGTTGACGCCGGCTGCTCAGCCCTGACAGCGCCTACCTGAGCAACCATAATGTCATGGCGGTCATGGATGCGCTGGGTATGGGGGGTACCTGCAGGTACGGAAGAGGCCGTGTGCTGCTTGGAAATATGGTGGACATTGACGGGGCATCCAGTGGGGCTACCAAGGCCTACATGACCCGATATCACCAACTTCTCGCCATTTGTTACTGTGCTATGCTTGTCACCGTCGCAACTCACAAGCTTAGGCAGTTGCAGCGTGCAGTTGCAGCTACGCGCTCACCTCACCACTTCATGCTTACCTCCCCGCGTCCCACCTCGCGACCTCGCAGGCACTGCCCCGGCCTCTCCTTCCCCTCCCAGACCGCCCTCCTCCACCACTACCTCCGCTCCTGCCCCGCCGCGCTGGTGCCCTGCCGCTTCCGTGGCTGCGCCGCCTGGCACCCGCGCGCCACCGCAGCCGCCCACGAGGCCACATGTCCCGTGGGTCGGTGCCCCTGCAGCCAATGTGGCTGCTGGGTGGACCGCAGTGAGCTGCTGCGGCACCTGGTGTCCGCATGCAGGCAGCGGGTGGTGCGGTGCGTGCTGTGCTCGCATGCTGCGCCGCTGCCCGACATGCTGCAACACCTGCGGCAGCACCAGCGGCAGCTGCTGCTGTCGTCGTCGCAGGGGCAGGCGGAGGCGAGGCAGGGCGAGGAGGCGGTGGCGGCTGCTGCCAGGGAGGACGGAGCAGGAGGAGGAAGAGGAGGGAGGAGGCAGGAGACCGTGGGGCCGAAGCCTCCTGAGGTCCCGGGTATGAGCATGGCAGCGGTGACTATCACGTTGTCCGGACCAGCCGTGTTAGAGCAGCTTCAAGCCTCACAGCAGCAGCAGCATCACCAAGAAGGAGCAGCGCCCCAACGGGAACTGCAGCGCCGTGCTGGGACAGCGTCACAGCAGCAGCAGCTAGCAGTGGCACCCGGACAACAGCTTTCCATGGATGCCCCAGAGGAGGCACAGCAGGAGCACGGCCCAATGCGGGCCGGACAAGCACCGCAGGAGCGGCAGCAGCTACGGCAGCAGCAGCAGCAGCATAGAGGGCAAGGTGAGGGACAGCATCAGCATCAACACGGAGAAGAACAAGAGCAGCAGCTGCAACTGCCGTCACAACCACAGCGGCAGCGGCAGCATCAATCGCAGGATGTGCCCTACGAGAGGCCCTACAGCATCCTTGGCAGCTTGGGCTGCAGGCACAGCAGCCGCCCTCGCAACCACATCAAACACAACCACCGCATGCGCAACCAACGCTACCAACGGAGCAGCCAGGAGCTGCTGCGGTGCAGCTGCCCAGCAGGCAGCAGCAACAGCTACCTCACGAACAACGGCATGGTGCGACGCAGCAGCAGCAGCAGTTACAACAACAGCAGCAGCCACAGCGGCAGCAGCCAGTAGAGTACGACTCCGAGCAGCTCCGGCAGGTGCGGCTGCTGTTGGAGGGCTGCTGCGTCGAGGGCAGCAGCAGCTGCTGAGGGCTCAGGAGAGCGGGGGGAGAGCCCAGGTGCTGGGACAGGATGCAATCCAGCAGCCGCAGCAGCTGCCACCCCACCCCGGCGGCGGTCGAGAGGCGCGTTACAGGTGGTACAGCGCCAGCAGCACGACACGGCGGTAGCGTCCCGCACCAGCAGCCTAGTCTTCAAACACGCAGCCCACAGCAGCAGCAGCAACAACAGCAAAGACCGCAGGCAGTGCAGGACCAAGTGCAAAGCCAACCTGAACCCCAACCGCACACCCAACGGCCGCCGCAGCAGCCTCAGCAGAGGCCACGCGGCGACATCTGGAGCCTGCTGGCTGCTGCTGCAGCCGTACACCCGCGCTCCCATGCGCTGCAGCCGCCCCTGCGCTGCTCCCCCCGCACCTCCTCCGGCAGCCTCTGCCGGGCAACATCCGGCAGCGGCCGCCAGCAGCCAGCAGCAGCAGCCCGCCGCCGCTTCCACCTCTACAGCAGGCCCCGCCGACGCCGCTGTCGGCTTGTCTGTCCCAGCCAGTACCTCCGCTTCTGGCCCTGTTACCGCCCCCGCTTCCCGCCTCGCCGCCGGCGCCACAGCAAGCAGAGCCGCCGTGGGGAAGGAGGCGAGGTAGTAGTATTAGGAGGAGGAGGAGGGACGGCAGGGCGGAAGCGTGGTGGCGAGTTCGGGCACGGAAGCGGCTGCTGCAGGTGCCGCGGCTGCCGTGCATGAGGGCGACAACGACTCGACGGGGACGAGCATCAGCAGCAGCAACAACAGTCGCAGCCTCGGCGGAGAGGGAAGAAGAGGAGGGGTAAGCTCCGTTGCGGCTGCTGCTAGCAGTTCGGCTCCGCTGCCAGTTTCCGTGGCGACGGCTCCAGCATCTGTATTGCCGCTTGGCAGCACCAACCCGAGGGGCCGGGGGCTCTGTCAGCGCCGGAATCACCGCCGCCGGCAGCGGTGGTGTCGGCAGCAGTGGCAGCGGCGGCCTCCACGGGCGCCTGTCAGCTGACGTCCCGCATGTCGTACTGCCTCCGGAGCTGCAGTGTGCAGCTGCGTCGGCGCCGGGAGGACTGCATGCTAGCGCCGGCGTCAGCGGAGGTGCCGGCAGCGGTGGTGTGGACGTCTTGTTGCAGCTGGCGCGCCGTCGCGGTGTGGTCTGGCCGCCAGACCTGGACGGCTCGGCGGCGGCAGCCATTGCGGCGGCCGCCGTCCTGACTGCTAGGGATCCGCCACTGGCGGCGGCGGCGGCGGTGTCGACAGCTGCAGCGGTTGCTACGGGGCCGGAGGCGGAGGCGGGCTCCTCTGATGCCGGGCTGGTGCGTGCGGCCGCTGCCATCCTGCGGGCGAGTGCGGAAGCTGCGGAGCGGCGCTGGCAGCGGCGGGTGAGTGTGTGTTGGGGCTGCTGGGAGGGGGCCGGGATGGGACAGGATGGGTTGCGGGCGCGATGTGGGTCCGACAAGCTGCTGTGTGGGTCGCGGGGATGCCATGTGGGGTGACGAAGCCGTTTAACCGGTAGATGCCTTCAGGTGTTTCTGGTTTAATACTGAACTGACGAAACCGCGTTACTCCGCCATGCGCTGTGCAGTTGATGGCAACGGCAGGGACGGTAGCTTTGGGAGGACGACAAGGAGCGCATGTCTGCGGCATTCACAAGACCGACCCCTGGGTCGTCCTGAACGCTCCAACAGTGCGGGCAGTGCGCTAGGCGCTGCAGCTGGCTCCGCCACATCTGCAGCAGCCATCACCTCAGGAACGGTGATAAGGGCTGCTGCCCCTAGCATGGAGGCGCCAGCAGCGACCCATGGGTCAGGAGCGACAGCCCACAACCTCCCTTCGGAGGTACTGCCGCTGACGGCGGCTATGGCAGCGGCAGGTAATGCTGTGGGGGCGCCTCTCCCTCCCCCGGCGGTATCCGCAGCCTTCTATCGTCGGAGCTTCAGTGATACAGGTGAGGCAAGGCACAGCATGTCGTGATGGTTTGACGGGTTGCAATGTAATTGATTCCCTTTGCCGTCCACCCTCCCTCCCTTGTTCCCCTACCACAATCCGGACCTCCTCTTTCCCCCTCACCCTGCTGCCCTTGCCCCTCCTCCCCTCCCTCTCTCCAGAGCTGGTGTTCGACGTGGTGGAGCAGCTGATGAGGGCCTCCGCGGCAGCCGTGGAGAGGGCGTCGGCGTCGGGGTGAGCATGCGTCACGGACACCCAGTGCATGGTAGCGTTACGTGGTTAATCGGGGGCAGTGATGGCGACTGGTGCCAGCATGGATGTCCTGATGCTTGCCGAATTGCCGATGCTGTGATAATGGATGACATGTATGGGTATTGTTGATGTACGGGTATGGATGGACTGTGTTCCTGCAAGTGAACTAGGAGATAGGAAGATGGGGCAGTGAACGAGAGAGAGACCATCCCGTGTGCGGTGCGCCTTATCCGTTGCGACGCCTGGTACTTTGTGTGACCCGGTGCGACTGCAAATGGGGCTGCTGTAATGCCAGATTGGAGAATGGTATGAAGGGCGCGCATAGGGCCCTGTGCTCGCAATTGAGGTGTTTGCGATACCGTTGATTGATGATCCCGATATGTTGATGGCAGAGTTGTACGATATTGACTGCAGTGCTGGACAACGGAGGACGCAGGATGTGCACGGCGTATGTCTCCGCATTTGAGGAATGGAATGTAGTACATACTGTATGCGAATTTGTTGACGGCTTTCTTGTTGACAGTCTTCCGGAGACTTCACGTGTGGTTACTGCCGCTAGTGGATGTGCGGTTGCGGCTGGTGGTAGTGTGATCATGATGCTGACTGTATGTGGGCGGACCCAGCTGGTTGCATTGCACGACAGTTGGTGTACGACAGCGACTTGAGGTTGGGCTACGTTGGAGGGTTGGGTGGGTGGTTGGATGCGGCTGCTTAATGGCCTTGTATGTTAACTTCATTCCCGTTCTCTTACATGCGATAGCCGCGTTTATGCCTTTTGATGGAAGCGCGTATGCTTGTGAACATGAGCTTTGCCAAGTACCAGGCATGCGGGCAATGTACATTCCATAATGGCGTGCAAAGTAGCGTGCGAAGTGGCGTTCGAGGGTGGATTTCGGTAGTGGGGCCTGTACTGCTCGATTCATTGATTGCATACACCCGAAGACCCAACGCGGTGTGCTAAGAAAACTGGCCGCAACTTGGAATGTACTGGTGATAACCGGAGGGTGGCGGTGTGCGTGTTAAGAACACTGGTCGCGATGTCCAGAACCTTGGGTGCAGGATTGGTGGTAAGGTGGGCACGCATGATCTCACGCTGGTGTTGTGTTACTGGGTAAACTGGGTTCCGTTGAGGGTGGCATAGGCCGATGCAGGCGCGATGTTGGACGGTGTTTGCCATTCGAGACGAGGCGCACTGAACGTCATCACCAAACACTCTCAAGCAACAAATTCGTGTGAAGGTCTGTGTGTTCAGTAGTGTGCGGGCACACAGTAGCTCGCGCCAAGCTTGTCGTACATTGCAGCGCGGCAGTCTGGGCTAAGTTGCGAAACCCCACTAAAGGTTGCTCCAAACGCACGACAGTACGGCGGAACAGAGGCCACTTGTGTATCCGACCTCAAAGAACCTGCACAGCAAGGCAAGCCATCTGCTGTAAACTGGCCCGCCCAGGCCTGAGAAAGGCTTTGTCGTGCAACACATGCTCAGGGCTGCGCCACAGGGCTGTGTGTCTACTGCATGAGGTAATAGCGTGTAAGATGCAGTGCCAAACACTTTCAATGTCCGTTGCAACACAGCTTAGCGAGGGTAAAAGCGTACTGTGTAGCCCACTGCAGCTATACGGTTTTGGCATGACAAGCAACGCATGGCCTGCACCAGCCTACAACTATTCATACCGGTATCCCGAGACGAAACGAAATGCGCCGTCCCACTGCTGCTTTACACATTCTTAGCTAGGCAAATACGGCAGTACGTAGTAAGACGGTAGGCGAAGGGCCTACAGGCAAATAGTCCCCTAGTTTCTTGATGCTGTTTTGTTTCCCGTTAGGATTCCTTTACAAGGAGCTTAAAAACTGGCCACAGGGCTCAGGCGTCAGTGGCAAAGCCGCTACAATCGAAATGGGCTTAAAGCATACGCCTATGTTATGTACGTCAACAAGATATGCAAGTCCAAGCAGTAAGAAGCCTTGGATATTTGGTCTTAGCCCTAGCTGACATAATAACGGTACGATATGCGCTGATGCCGTAACAGTATTGCTCCCTTGGAAGCGACGCGGTGTATGGAACAATAATTATTATTGACAAGTTTTGCTCGCGCTGCTGCGCCGTCTGCGGAATGAAGCTTGCGTAGGGCGCTAACCACGTTTAGTGGAGAACCTCGTGAAACATGCCGGCGCTCGATACATTCGACTGGTTGGAGGGATGGTGGATTGGCCTCAATGCCTTTCTGTTTGGTCTGACCGCCGGCTGGGCGTTCTTCCACAATGGCCTGGCACGGTGAGGCACCTTATGGGACATTCATGCCAGTATGCATGTTCATAATCGTTCGACGGCTACCTGTTGTAATTCGCAAGTTACATACTTGCCCGCAGAGAGCCGGCTGCTGCTACCGGTAACACATCGCGCGCGGCTGGAGGCTCCACGTGCTCCAAGGTGGATTCTGCTGCAAAGTTTTCCTAAAGATTAATGAAACAGACGTTTCCTCGTCCTAACTGCCGTTTGCTCTTGCGATTGTCTTCCAGTCTTTACAGCACTCTGCGGATGGACAGCTGCGTGAACAACAGCAGCTGCTGAAGCGCCTTGTCTGCATTCGGTGAGCAGGAAGGCGCATACAGCGTAGTAGTTCCCAGGGCTTCACCCTAGGCTATTTCCTTACAGTGCAGCGTTCGGTGCAACCTCTAGAAGCGACGGAAACCAGCGCTAATTGCTCTACGAGTACCACAGCTGGTATCTGACTCAGCAACGAACCCTCCACCGTCCCTCCCTTACACAGGACTCTGGGGTTTGCCATCCAGTCCTTCCACCTGATAGCAGTGTACCGCCTATGGGAGACCTCACGTAAGTAAACACACCGTACACCCGCACACCGATACCGCTGCACAGCTCCCAAGCCCCTTGCCCGTTGTCCTAACCCGCTTTCATCTCCTTGCATGACCACCCCCTCCACCGCCGCACCACCACGACTCGCTCCTCCAGCAACACTGTACGACCAACTTGCTCCTTTTCCCAAATACGTCGCTCACTCCTCCCCTCACCCATGCCTTCCTTCTTACACTTCGCTCACTCCTCGGCCTTCCCGGTCCCTTCTCCCCTTCCTCCCCCTTGCTCCCAGGCGCCGGCAGCGGGCGCCACCCCCTGTCCGGCCACTGGCTGGCCCTGGCGGGTCTGCTGGTGCCGCTGCTGAAGCACTGCGCCATGCAGGTGGTGGCCATGGGTGCGCCGCGGGTGTACCTGCAGCACCGGCGGGCGCTGCATGTGGGCGGGCTGGCGGCGAGGCTGCTGGGGCTGCTCATGCAGGTGTGTGGGGCGAGCGGGTGTGGGGGGCGGAGTGGCAGGGAGTGGGTTGTTGGAAGAGGGAAAGGGGGAGGGTTGTGGAATGGGTTTCAGCTCTTAAGGCTTGTCGCGCAGGGAAGGGGCCAAACTGTAACCTACAGGGGGTGAAGAATTGTGTCGGTTTGGTGCGGCCTTGGCGCCAGGCCTTTGGCCTGCGTTGTACCTGATCTGGTTTCGTGGTTGCTCTCCCAGTCATCACCCTTTCCCCTCCCCGGTCGCCCTCTCCTCCTCTCCTCCTCTCCTACCCCCTGCAGGCCACAAGCGAGTGTGCTACGGTTCGTGCCAAGGCGTACAAGCAGGAGCTGGTGATCGCGGGAGTGAGCATGATGGTGCAGCAGGTGCGGGGGGGGGGGCTGGGCGAGGAAAAACACACACACGCATGTAGGGAAGCTGTCCTGGAAAGCCAGAAGTGCATGGAAGTCAGCACCCTCGGTCCGGTGGCGAGGCATGTCACTTCTGCATGCTGAGCCCTCGTTCCTCTCCCGTTCCTCCGCCTCCGCCTCCAACACTCCTCACAGCTCCCCTCATCCCTCTCTTTATCCCCCTCTATCCCCTATGCCCCGCCCCCGCCCCCGCCCCCCGCCCCCTGCTGCCCCCAGGACGACCCCAAGTCCTTCCTAGCGCAGCTGGGAGTGGCCGCCCTGGCCTGCCTGTGCGGCCACCTAGCTGGGCTGGGACCCGAGGACGACATGCCCACCGAGGCGCTCAAGTTCATGGCAACATACTGCGCCATGCTGGGACTCAATACGCTGTGAGGGAGGGAGGGAGGGAAGGAGGAGGGAAGTGTGCTGGTAGTGGAAAGGAGCAAGGAAGGGGAGGAAAGAATGGTGCGGGCATGTAAGGTCGGCTTTATGATACAGGCATACAGCTGTTTCTTGGTTATACCTCGGTTATACCCATACTCGTACGCGAGACGACCCTAATGCCATACTCGCCGGAACCCTCTGCGGCCGCCGCAGGTACAACACGTTGATGGGCGCTCCGCCCCCCTGGGCCGGCTCCCGACCCAGGGGTCGCACCGCCGACTCGTACTACGACCCACCAGATGACGTCACTCACAACACCCAGACGCCCGATGGCAGCAGCAGCCGAGCCGGCGGGGGCAGTAACGCGGGGTCCCGCGGCGCCACTCCGCGGCTTTCCTTTGATGGCTCCGTTGGAGGCGGCGGCGGAGGTGGGGGTGCTGGCGGCGGTGGTGGCGGCGGCGGCGGTGGCGGAGGCGGAGGCAGTGGTACGACACAGTGGTACTATCCGACGTCTACTGTCGGCGGTGGCGGTGGCGGTGGCACCGCAGCCTTCCCTGCAGTCGGCAGTTTGAAATCCGTGCGCTCCTCAATCGACCTGGGCGCCTACTCGTTGTTACCTTGCATGGGATCGGAGCCGGGTCCTACCACCGCCGCGAGGGCGGCCAACAGGGCGGCTGCTGCGGCCGCCGCCGCCGCTGCTGCCGCCGCCGCGGCAGCAGTAGATGGCGGAGGTGCCGCCGCCCCAGCAGCAGCTGCCGTACATGCACCTCCGCCGCTGTCGGTGCGTGTGCACCCGGTGCACTTGGTGAAGCTCTGCGTCATTCGGGCCTTTGCGCTGGCCTACCTGGCCGCGCACATCCTGCAGGTGGTCCGCGACAGCCGCAGGCGCGGCGAGCCGCTCACGCGCTACGTCGTGTCCGTACACCTGACGACGATGATTTCCGTACTTTACGGCATTCCGCCGCTACTGGCCCTGGTTTTCCCTTTGGTTTATGCGCGGTACGGCAGCACTCTAAACGTGGCTACATGGACCGTACAGCTTGTCATCCGGGCCATAGCTCTTATTGCTGAGCCCTCGGGAGTGCATGACATGCACGCCACCCGGTCTTTGTTCTTCAACCTTATCACAGCATTGGCCCTAGATTGCGAACCCGGCGTGTATGTACGGCTAACGGGTACGATGGCCGTTGGCTGGGTTGCCGTACATGTATACCTGCTTGCCAGCCGCCCCAGCATCCTAGCGTCGTCATCAGGTGTCGACCTTGCAAAGCTTCTAGCCCTGTACCCAGTAGCTTGGGCCGTGGCTGTGGCGTTGAACGTCGGCACACGCGTACCGACCGTGCATTTGGTCGCGACGCTGGGAACCGAGGGCGACGGCGCTGCCGCCGCCGCCGCCGGTCTCGTAGGCGGCGGCGGCAATGGCACCATGTCGTACAGCGAGCGACGTTGGCGGCGACGGCGACTGAGTCACGGCCCCGCGGCGCGCTTGGTCGGCAGCAATGTCGCGACCGGCGAGGACCTGCTGTCCTTTCCACACCATACTCCACATCACCACCCGCACACCCTCCACCACGGTCACCACGGCCATCATCACCACCACAGCCACCACTCCCAGGGGCCACAGCTGCACCACACCCACCACGGGGGGTACGGCTACACGCAGCACATGGGGGCCAGCCACCTGGGGCCGCATGGAGCCGGCGGCGGAGGCGGAGGCCGGTTGTTAAGCCGGGTACGGAGCCATAACCACCTGTCCATCATGGGAGGCGCCAGCATGGGGCCCACTGCGCTAGCGGCGGCGGCAGGGGGGATTGAAGGTGGTAGTGCAGGCGGGGTGAAGAGCCCGCGAGGGGACGGTCGCGGCGGTGGCGGCGGCGGCGGTGGTGTTGTTGGCAGCAGCTCGACGTCGATACGCAAGTTGAACACGAGCGCTAGCTTCGGTTCCGCCGCTGGGTTCAGTCGTCTGTCAACCATCAGCGACTCGCCGCCGACATCGCCGTCACCGCCGCCTACGTTGCCGACGCCGCCATGCAAACCGACGCCGGTGGCTCGGAGCCCTTTCTCGCGGGTTTCATCCATGGCGGAGGCTGAGATGAAGGCGGCTGCGGCAGCGGCAGGTACGGATGACGAGTCCTCGACAGCTGCCGGCAGTGAGCCGGCAGCTGGCAGCAGTTCACCAGTGGAGCCTGTGAGCCAGCAGACGCAAGGGCTGGCGGGGGCTGCAGCAGCTCCGGAGGCAGACGCGGAGGCGGTGTTAAAGCCTGTAGCCGACGTGCTAACCCGGGGTGGACTAGCCGACGTCATGGTGAAAGCCGGCCAAGGAAAAAGAGCGCCCGCCAACGCTGTGGTTGCTTCTCCCCATGCGGAAGTCGTAACTTTGGCAGCGGCGGCCGCTGAGGGAGCAGCAGCAGCAGCAACGGCGGCGGTGGCGGCCAGCTCGCCCGTCGCCAGTCTCGTACAGCAATCTGATGACGTGTACGACAGCACAGAGGTAGTCAACGCCCTACTAGAATCAATGACGGCGGAGGCGACGGCGACGGCGGTGGGTCCCACATGGACTGGATTCGGAAAAGCGGCGACGTCGACGGAGGTGATGGGGGTGATGAAGGCGGAGGCTTCCCCGCAGCTGTTGCCTCCCCCTGGAGAGGTGCTGCCTCCACTGCCGGAGGGCTCTTCAGCGGCGGAGCTGAGTGCGGCGTTGGGGTCGGAGGTGGCGGCGGCGGCGGCAGCGGCGACAACAGCGGCAGCGGTAGCGGCGGCGCGGGCTGAGCCTGTGCCGCCTCCGCTGCCGCCGGCCCCGCCACCGCTGCCCCCGCCGCCCGCACCCGCCTGCGACCCATTGCAGGAGTATGCCGCCCTGAGCTACTTTATTCGGGTAGGACACGCTCGGTGCTGGGGGCCCTTGCTTGCTTGCTTGGCTGCCTGCTGCATGCGTTAGGAACCCCGGATATGAGTCGCCTAACCTGTTAACGACGGGCGTGTAATCTTTCTGTGACTTCCCTCTTCGCGTATTCACGTTTACTTCCCTCCGCCCCCATCGTCCCTTCCGTGACCTCCCTCCCATCAACAGCGCCCGGCCGCATGCAAGGGAGTGGACATCCGCCGCCGTCTGGAAGCAGCCCTACGCGACCCGCCCGTCCCCTTCTGTCCACCTACCTCCTCTTCCTCTTTCTCCTCCCCTTCCTCCCCTTTCACCGCAGCCTCAACCACCACCACCGCCTCCCCACCATCACCCTCAATCCTATCCTCCTCTATCTCCCGTTGTTTCAACGGCCTCCGTCTCCTCACCCGCCTCCGCCCCTGCTCGTCCGCACCAAACACCAGCGACGCATGTTGCAGCAGCACCAGCGATAACAGCAGCAAGACACCCGAGCAACCGCCCCAGAAGCCACCTCACAAGCCCTCCCCCCGACTGCACCGCCACCGCTACTCCCTACGCGATCGAGCCGCTGCAGCGCTGCGGCTGCTTGTGATGCTGCACTCGGCGCTTCCCGTGCTGCGGCTGGGACTCGACCTGCTGACACCTCGATGCAGGTACGCGTCCAAGCGGGGCTGGGAATACATAAAAGGATACCTACCCATAGTGCCCAATGGCCGAAACCCGCCCCAGACACCCTGAGGGGGGGGGTGTTCCATGCGGGTGCATGCGGGTGCTGTACAGGACGTGTGGGGCAACTCGGCCTGTACTCCCAATTGCTTGCTGTTGTCCTACTCAATTACACATTGCACGGCCAGTTATTTTAACACACATTGCACGTCGCTGCTGCTGGCGCCCACCATGCACTCACGCGTTGTTGACTGGTGCTGCTTTTGCTACTGCTCCCCCACCCCCGCAGAACCCCGATGGACGCCGCTTCGGCCGCCTGCCTCGACGTCTTCTCCTTCTCCTTCCCTGCCGCCTCCTCCTCCTCCCTCCTGGGACTGGGCTCGCTGGCATCTCTCCTCACATCTTCTTCGCCCTCGGCTGTCGCCTCCGCTGCCTCTAACATGGCCACCGCTGCCGCTGCTACAGCTACTGCTTCCAATGCCACTGCAGCTGTTAACCTGACTGCTGCTGTGGCTGCTGCCGCCGCCAACCCGCCGCCGTACCTCAGTCGCTCGCTGCTCCTCCACCTAGCCAGCATGGCAGCAGACGTGTTGTTCAGTGTCCTGCCGTACACCACTCCAGATCTCTTTGCTAGGTGGCGTGCCGTACTGTGGCCCGCCATGCTGATTGCCAATGAGGAGATCCGTCTGGTAGGTTCATGTGGCCTGCTTCTTCTTCTTCCTGCTGCTTGGATGGGGTTGTTGTGCAGTGAGCCTGGTGATGATGGGCTGTTGGCTGTTGGTATGCAACGTAATGGTCCATGCAATTGCTGCCTGCATTTGCCGCGTCACGTTCCTCGATCCGCCACTCCCGTCGCAAGCTTGCAACCCACATTTCCCCTGCTCCTACCCCCCTCCCCTCCGCACCCGCCCCTCCGCCAGCTTGTCCTGGAAGGCATGGGTGTGTGCGTGGGCGGCCCCAGCCGGCCCCTCTACTCCCTCTTCCTGGCCGCTGCGCTGTGGAGGCTGCTGGAGCTGCCCCCGCGCGCCTTCCAGTGGGCCATGGGGCTGCGGCTGGCCACGCTGATGCACCACGCGAGCATGCTGTACGACATGGAGGCGGGCAACACGGCGGGTGGGGAGCGGGGGGCGGGGGTTCGTGGACGTGTGGTGTAAGACATCCACCTGTCCTGGAATGAACGCCAGGGCAGGTTGTTCAGCTGGCCCCTCCGTGGCTGAATGCCGGTACGTTAGAACCCACTGACGACCTGGAAGCAAGATCCGCACGACATGTCCTAGTTGCGCCAGCTTGCCCCGACCCTAACTGCGACCGCATTATCTTGGGTGTTGGTTGCGTAACGGAATCCGCAAACCATGCGCCATGCCCGCAGGCTACCTCCATCCCCTCATCCGTACTGCCGTGCTCTCCGTGGGTGGCTACGTGGCGACGCATCTGCTACTCACCCAGGCCGTACCCGCAGCCAACCTCGCCGCAGCCGCCGCAGCGGCGGCAGGCCGTCGGCTGCCCGCAGCGCGGCGGTGGTTGTACGGCATCTTGGCCACGTCAGACGGTGCCGTACTTTTGGGTTTGGCGGGGCTTGCCGTCATACACGTGCTGACGAGCATTGTGGACATGGACGCGTACCGGGGGTCCGAGGTGGCCCTGGTTTCGGAGCTTGTGGGGCTCGTACAGGTGGGTACTATATGTACGGATGCATGCATGCATACATGTGCCACACCCTTGCTTTACTCACCAAGAGCAACGCTCGGTGCATGCTTTTGTATGTTTGCTAGGCTCGTTTCGCACCCCCAACCCCTCTCCCTTTCTCCCTGCCACGTAGGAAGTGGTCATCAGCAGCAGTCAGGGCTACTTCCGTCGCGGCGAGCCGCTGCCCCCCGCTGTGTCGTACAGCCTCATGCGAGGCCTCTCCGCTGCCGTACTGGTGGCGGCGCTGCGAGCCGTATACCTGGTAAGTCAGGAGAGCCAGGGCCGTGACGGCGAGTGGTACCGGCAGCACGGGGCAGCCATGGCGGCGCTGCATGAGGTGGCGGCGCGGGAGACGGACGCGGAGGAGCTGCTGGGGACGTTGGAGGCGGAGACACGAGACATGTACAGCCGTGAGTGATGGGGCCGGGGGGGAGGGCTGGGGCCGGGGCTGGCGGTTGGGATTTAGGGACTTGAAGACGGCTGCGAAGGTAGGTAACAGCAGAGCCTCTTCCATGCAGGGCAGCCTGATCCGCTCCTCTAGCTCCTCATGCACCCAGTGGGGTGCCCACTGGGTGCATGTCTGTCTCTTCCCGGTCTGTCCCACACCGCCCACCCCGGGTGCCCCGCTCCACGAACGCACGCCCCCCCAGGTTGCTCCGTCTACCTGGCCGTTATGCCGCAGTACGGCAGACTGCTGAGCAGCAGCTCGTACGGCAATTGGCATCCTCCTCCTCGACAACCGCCGTCAATGGCGGCGGCGTCAGCAACCCCATTCTCAGCCACCGCCATGAACCCAAACGCCGGCATCGTTGGCTCCTCTCCAGTGCTGCTCGTACCGGTACACCAACTGCGGGCGTTACGACCACTGGCGCCGTACGATGATGCTGACATCAGCAACAGCGGCAGCGTTGATGACGGGTTCGGAGGAGGCGGCGGAGGCGGAGGTACGGCAGCGGCGGTGGCGTGGGAGTGCCTTCGCTCCGTAGCGGCCCAGCTGCGGCCTCAGGAGCTGGTGGTGGCGACGGATGTGGGGCCGACGTGTGGTGGGGGCAGGTGGGGCGATGGGGCGTGAGGGAACGGGGTGGGGACAGACCCATGGGTCATGTTGGAAACGAAGCGGCTGATGTTCCTTGTTAGTACTGCTATTGTAGGGTGCCGTATATACCGCACTGCTCAATGACGTGCCCTGGCTACCTCTGTGGCCACCGGCAGTTCCACCATCCTTCTGTACGTGCCCCCTCCCTTACATTCCCCGCTCTCAACTACCCTCTCCCCTGCTCCTCCGCCTCCTTCCCCCCACTTCCTCACCAGCACCGGCTCTGCTGCTCTGGACTGGCTCCTCACCGCCTCCTTCGCCTCCAACCTCGCAGTCATCCCCGTCTCCGGCCTCGGCACCACCGCCTCCTCCTCCTCCGCACCCGCGCCTACCTCCACCTCTGCCTCCGCCAACCCCTCATCGCACCCACCATCTGGCCCGCCCCCTCCTCCTCCCCCCTCCTCCGCCTCCTCCCTCGTGGGGGCGCTGCTGGTGCTGAGTCCGGTGCACGGGGAGCTCGATGCCGCACTGCTGGGGCTGAGTGCTGACGTGGCGCATGCGCTGGGCGGGGCGCTGCACCTGCGGCACATGCTGGCGGAGCACCGGGCGGGGGAGGAGATCCTGTATGTGAGTGGGGGCTGCATGGGGGGGGCTGCATGGGGACTGTTGGAAAAAATAAATGATAAGTGCAGCAACGGAGTCCCAATCCCAAATCCCGACTCATGCAGTGAGCCCATTCGGAAACACTATGATTGAAACTCGCAACTCATGGGGAATGTGGGGGTGGGCGGCACATGGGGGATCTGGGGTGAGGCGGCGGAGGAGGTGGAGCGCAATGGATTGATGGGGCGGGGTGGGATGGGGTTCTCTGTCCATTCCTAGATGTCTGTCCTGCCGCTCCCCTCCGCACCGCACTCCACCACAGTCCGGCGTGATGGGCCGGTTGCCCTCCTCACCTCAATGCCCTCCTCACCGCACCCCACCGCAACCACACAACCCAACTCCCCCCCTTTCCCCCTCACAGGATGTGCTCCCCTCCAACGTGGCGGGCGCCCTGATGTCTATGAAGATGAAAATGGACTCCAAGGCCCGCCGAACCTCACCCAGCAACACGGGAGCAGCAGCAGCTACCATGACACGCACCGGCAGCGGCGGCGCCGCCAGCGGGGGTACCGGCGGCGGCCTATCCACTGCATCCACCGCTCGGGCTAGCATTGGCGGCAGTAACCGGGCCGCCGGCGGGTACCTGTCGAACTCAGCGGGACAAGTGATGCTGCCGTCAGAGGCCCTAGCCGGCGACCTAACTGCCGGCGGTGGTGGCGGCGGCGGTGACGGCAGCAGCACTTCAGTACGGCCCGCCACGTCCCCCGGTGTGCATCCCCTGCAGTCACCCCAACAGCCGCTTCACGCTCGGGCAGCTAGTGCCAACGGCCTCGTAGTCAACAGTAGCGTCAGCGGTGTCGGCGGCGGCGGCGGTGGCGGAGGGCATAGCGTTAGCGTTAGTGCCAGCGGCGGTGACGGTGGCGGCGGCGGCGGTGATGTTGCGAGGGTGGATGATGGCGGCGGCGGCGGCGGCAGTGGCGGCGGTGGCGGCATGAGCTCAGATGGGTCGGCTATTGGCGGCACGGGGGCGTACCTGGGTAGCATCGGAAGCACGGGAGACATTGTGTACAAGTGAGCGAGAGGGGTTGGGTACTGTGGAAAGGGGGAGGGGGGAGGTTGATGGAGAGGTGGGAGGTTAAGAGCCGAGTTAAGGGTACGGTTGCAACCCGGAACTCCTTTCCAGGATTGGCGTGTTGGGTCTTGTCGGTCCACAGGCTCTCTATGAGCGGCGTTCCGCTACTCATGAGTGGCCGGATGAGCTTGCCTGTTGTCGACATGTGTGCATGTTGCCGCGCGACGTGTGCTGTTGCTGCCGCTTTTGCTGCTGTTGTTGTTCTGTTGCTGCAGGCAATGGCACGGAGGCGTGTCGGTGCTATTCGCTGACATTGGTGAGTGGGAATCAGTTGTGGGAATCAGTTGGGGAGAGCCATTGGTAGTAAAGGCCCGGCGCGGGGATGTGGAATTCCCCCTTCTCCAGCACTTCTTGTGGCCTGTGAATTCCCCTCGCATGTCACGTTCGCCCCGTTTCGTTTCTCCCTTGACACGCATCTGCGTTGCAACCCCCTTCTCCTCTCCCCCTCCTTTGCCATGTCCCTCTCTTGCTTTTCCCCCCAGTTGGGTGGACCAGCATGGCTCAGGAGATGGAGGCGGATGACGTCATGCTGCTGCTGCACGGTGGGCTGCTGGGGTTGGGCGGGGGGGGCTGAGACCCCATGCGACGGGTGTAGGGGTGGGGGGCTTCGTCCCATGAAGGTGTACGGAGTTCTCCTACACCTGTTGTGTTTGTTTTGTACACCTGTTTGGTGACGTACGGGTACCATCTCACCATCTTAATGTCGCTACTGCGTACCTGCGGCGCGGCGCCTGCAGTCCTTGGGTCAATGCTGTTAAACTCTATTGGTTGTTATTCCCTTCCCCTCGCGTGCTGCGCCCCTGCTCCCTCCCAGAGCTGTTTTGCAAGTACGATGCAATCGCGGAGGAACTGGGCGTGTACAAGGGTGAGAGCGGCCGGGGTTGACATGGGGGGACATGCGGGGACACTGAGTGACGTGATGAGGTGCTATGACTGTTGAGGGGCTTTCCTCCTTTTTCTCGCCCCGTCATTGTTTAGTACTGACACCTGCTTCTGCCTCTGACCCGTTCCCGCTCTTGTGCTCCCTCCCCCTCGCACGCCGCTGCTACTGCTGCTGCCGCCTGTTGCGACCACCCGCCGCCCGCACACCTCCGCTTACCTGCAGTGGAGACCATCGGTGAGCCCCCTGGGAGGCCCCAGCACAGCATGTCTGCGGGTTTGGGAAAGCGAGGGGGCGGGGCCTCATGCACACCAGTCGGGAGCAGCGTAGCCCAAACTCCGGGGCCGCATATATCATGTATCATGTGGAACCTCCCGGCGCCGCATTTCCCACCTCGCCTCTCTCGGCACTGCTCGCTTGCTACCTAACTAAGCAATTAACCAGGAGCTAGCCACCCCCCTGCCCCTCCTCCCCCTGCTCCCCTCCTCCCCCTCCTGTCCCCCGCAGGCGACTGCTACATGGCTGCCTCGGGTCTGCTGGCGGAGGACCCGCACCACGCGGCGGCCCTGGTGGCGTTCGGCAAGGCGATCATCCGGGCGGCGGCCTCAGTGGTCAACCCCATGACGGGCGGGCGCGTGCAGGTGGCCGCCTGGGGCGGGCGGGCGGGGGGGGGGGAGCTGTTGCTGCGTTCCCGGTTGCAGCTGTTTGTGTTTTTTGTTCTCAAAGGCGCCGATTTGCGTGGATAGGCCCTCTCCAAGCGCGTGCTCTTGCATTCTTATTCATTGTATCCTACGCCAGTGTCCCTCTTTGCTCGTTTTATGAGGACTGCATTACCAACCCTACCCCGCGCTGCCTCTGCCCTGCCCCGTCATGCTGGCGGCTGTCCTGCCCTCCTCCCGCAGATCCGTGTGGGGGTGCACAGCGGGCGCGTCATGAGCGGCATCGTGGGCCGCCACCGCGCCCGCTACTGCCTGTTCGGCGACACCGTCAACACGGCCAGCCGCATGGAGAGCACGGGGGTGCCGGGACGTGTGCAGGTGGGCGGGGCGGGTGGGCGGGTGTGGGTGTGTTAAGAAAACTGGTCGCGAGTCGGAACGTTCTGTTATTGCCGGAGATGTGGGCGGTTGTATGCGGACTCGTACTGTGGTGGGCGTATCAGTACCAGCACATCAGATTGCATGGTGGTACGTTGCGCAACACTCGTGCCGCTGCCGCTGACCCTCAACACTGCATGCTTGCACTTGCCGGTGGTGTGTGTCGTACAGGTTTCCGAGGTGACGTACGACCTGATGGTTTCGCACCCGACCCTGGCGGCCAGTGCGGCGGAGTTTGAGGCCCGCGGGGAGGTGCCAATCAAGGGCAAGGGGCTCATGCGGACGTACCTGTCCGGGGCGATCCTGGAGCAGCAGGTCTAGTGCGTCAGGTGGCCGGGCTGGGCAGCAGCGTTGGAGGGTTGCGTTGGTCTGGATAGGGGTCGTGGTTTTAAGGCGAGTAAGGGGTGGTTGGGGGTGAGGATGACTGGAAGAGTTTTGCTGTATCTGAAGCTCGAGCCAATAAATGTATCATGCAGGATAACGAAGTACATATCCCGCGGTACAATCGTAACGCGCAAAGAGCCCAGATCTGACTCGCACGTTGCTGTTTTAATGCGCCAATGCAATGTTGGCGTCATGAACGAATTGGATTTTGTTCCTGTTCCGGAAACGTCCGTCGAAAGCTGAATTGTTAGTCGCTCTTGCAACTGATCATTATACACTCGACTTTCGACCATGTCCGGAGGGTGACATTTTGTGCAGGTGTGCCGAACAGTAACGAGCGTTTGTGCAGTCTCCAATTTGGCAACAGTTCTTTGCTGTTCGAGCCGCCCTTTGTATCTCTTAGCGCCTTGGTGCTTTAATACACCTTGATAATTGCTCGTGATTTCGTGGATCTGTGACACGATGGGGCCGCGTTCGTGATTGCGTGCGAGTGTGAGAGCATGTGGTCAAAAAGGGCCCGACTGAGCTTGGACACTCGTAGGGTTTGCGTAGTGAAGTGCTGTTGCGCACAGCAATGCTTGGAACTCTACGGCACTTCTTTGCTGGCTATCAAAGGTCGGACGAGAGCAGTGGAAGGGGCCCAACCCGGGCATGCAAGGTTGGCGTGACTTATGCATGAGGAGACTTTGGGGGATGGCTTCCCTGTACTATGAATGGAACCGAGAGCTTCTTGCATGGTTACAAATGACTTTGTCGAATATCTGTTAGACGGGCGTGACCCATGAGTCCTTACCTCAGTGTACGGCAAGGCCTGGGGTGCGGCACCGCTATGTAAAGTGTGTTGTTATGCTTAGACTCCACCTCCCAACTCATATGTAGGCTTCCTCGGTTGAATACACATGAATAGTTCACACCACCCCACCAGCGCCTCCTAGAATCCTAACGCACCGGCCATGTGTGTCTTTCACCCAAAAGCAAAAGTGCATCCCCGGGATACCAACACACAACGTCCTACATGTACATCTCGCGGCATACCTCCATGACCCACGAGACCCGCCTCGCCAAATCCCAAACCTCGGTTTCTGCGCTTTCCAAACCCGCATACTGACTGACTAGGCAAAGTGACAAAGAGCTTGCATCGCAATACGCATTGGCAAGTAAGAATGTGAAAGCTACAAACACACAACATACGACGCACATCACCGGAGCGTCCCTGCACGACCACCAACGGCACAGATGCCCGCGCACGCCGGTAGGAGGCTAGGTTATTAGTAGCAGGAGATTACTGAAAAAATGATGGCGAGCCAATAACGTACCACAGAAAAAGCATAGACAAAGAGCTGGCCTAGGCACTGTTCAGAACGGAAATGAGTGCACTCCAGAAAGCCCATGCAGCGGCAATGACCCGCGCTGAGACATGGTGCCTTCACACCACAGTTATTACCATCACATGCAGTCCAAGCTGGCATACAAGGCAATTCCACCGAGGGAAACAATCAACGACTAACCTACACTCCTATACACGTGCGACATGAATACCAATCGTGCTTCAAGCAAGTCGGCGCTTAAGCTCGACTGCCCGCTGCCAAGCCTGCAAAGCATGGCGCATGCCGAGGCCCTACGCTTATTTTGCGTACCAGAATGAACAATGCTAGCCGATGCCCGCATTCGTAGTGACATTCATGCCCCGTTTATCGTGCCCGTGGCCCCGTGCCGTCTACCTAGCGAGCAAAGCAGAGTGTAAGATATAGTCCGTATAAGAGACAAGTAGAAGCTAAATCTAGTCATGCATGCGCCTAGCATTCCGTAATCGTGTCACGCTTCCGCCCCTCTGTACAGCAACAACCGTGCGTTATATACTGGTCATACGCGCTCACTTTATTGTCAGATGCATCCTTTCAGATGCATGTCATACCTGAAGTATATACAACTTGAACAGAAGCCATACTACTATACATTGGAACCACCAAAGGAGCCTCCTTACCAATTCATAACAGCATCTAACATGTCCTCACCGCAGCCGTCACGGCAGCCACCACTGCCGGTGCCTCACGCATCCGCCCGCCGACCCGTGGGCCACAGCAGCTCCCCCACCAGGTCGTACACACTCGAGATGTACTTGATCGTCAGGGCAGCAGACCTGATGGCAAACAACAGGACAATGCCGGCACTCAGCCTCTCAGGTAGCCACAAGCAGGAACAGGAAACGCCAAATTGCAGCGATCCTGAACTACATCAGGACCACACCTGGGACGAGGCCTAGACCACCACAGCTCCCGCGCACTCCTCCCCGTCTCACCTGAAGGACCGCTGCTGCCGCGCCCCCAGGTGCATGCTGACGGCGGTGGACCAGCGCTCCATGGCTTGCGGGGGCAGCTGGCCGCGAGTGAGGTTGGCGGGGGCGTCGTATAGGTGTCCGAGATGCAGCACCTCGCCCATGTACCTGGGAGGGCGCGGGTGTGGGTGCAGGGGGCCCGGTAAGCGGGGATTGCATCGCGTGGGTGCAGGAAAGCAACGCGGCTGCGTTGGGTTCTCAGAGAAAGGCGTACATGAGCGGGTGGAGGCGAACATGAACGAGCTGCCAACAGGTGCATGGGAGCAGGGAGGCTCCGAAGCGCAATAGTATGTTAGTACCGACAGCAAGGTCACCGCTCCCTAAGCACGGGCACACATCGTCGTGCCCCTCCGCTTCACCCCTTCACCATGAGTGCGTGGCCGCGCACCAACACACCTGCCCAGGGGCGTGTAGCCCGGGTCCGTGATGGGGAAGCCCAGGCGCCAGAAGCAGCGAGACATGAAGGCGTCGCCGCCCTCCGGGAAGGACATCACCGAGGTCTCGGGCGCGTTGATGCAGGTCTGCAGGATGGCGAGTGGGGCGGGGGTAAGGAGCGAGAGAGCGCGCGAGGATGTGGGCAGCCTTGGTGGTGTGCGCAGCACCCTGGTGACAGGCCTCATGTGCCCGCGAGCGTTCGGGGTTCATGTTGGGTGCTCTCGGATAGGGAAAACAGAGGGAAACGAGAAAGCAGAGGGAGAAACGAGGGATAGTGCGTACTCGGGGGTTGGCAGCAGGGGACGCCGTATGCGTGCTAGCCTGGCCACGCTTGGTCGACACTCGGTCGGTCGCACCTCATACGCTCGCAGTCCGGTGCCCCCCTGGCTGGCGGCCAGCTGCTTGAAGAAACCGATGGAGAAGATGAAGCCCACTCCGCCCCAGGGCACCGGGCCCTCCCACTCCTGCTGGCACCGCGTCTCGTTGCCGGGGAAGCGCCGCTTGCACAGGTTCTGTGGATGGGACCGACGGAAGGGAGGCTACAATGAGGCCACATATGACGGACATAAGCCATACGACAAGGAGACGGGAAAACGTAGAAGGGAAAGATGTGCAAGCAAAGCCTCTGTCTCGGCCCCAACGGTAAACACGTGTCTTCCCGTACTCAGGATGAACACCTCCTTATCTTGGTCGCAGTACTGGTATGTCCCCTAATCCAACCAGCCACCACGCACCTCGGTGCTACACCCGCAGCCCTTGGCTTGCTGCACCTCCCGCCCGCCGTCTGCTGTCGCCATCAACCGCCGCCCCGCGCGCCGCCGCCAGCGGCCCCACTGCATGTGGCACGGGTAACAGCGCATCTCCCACACACCCGGCTGCGGCGACTTGGATCCCACGTACATGGAATCCGATAAAAAGTACGGCAACTGCGGGTCGTAATCCCGCAACAGCGCCTTGACGCCCCGCATGAAGAATATGGTGTCGTCATCTCCCACCAGCAACCACTGGAAGGGGTCAGCGCTGCTGCCATTACCGCTGCTAGCCGCCGCTCCTGTGGGTGTTGGCGAGGGATCCGATGCCATCTGGGTCGGCTTGGCGGCGGAGGACCTGGGTCCGGATGGGAGCTGCGTCCAGGGTGTCATGGCAGCTGGGTCAGCGAGCGCCGCATAGGCGAGCACGGGGGTCATGGCGGCCCGGCGGTCTCCCTCCAGGTAGTGGTCGCGCTTGTCGTTAGCCATGCGGCGGAAGTTGGGGAACCAGGCGTAGGACTCACGGTACCTGGTGGAGTGCGGGAGTGGCAGGAGGTGAAGCTGGCGTGGAAGAGGATGAGGGTCAGGGGTCAAAATGGTAGCGTAAGGCTAGGTAAAGAAAAAAGGTAGTTCGCCATGCTGTATCCGGAACAGCGAGTCGATACAGCGACAAGCCAGCACGCTTACTTGTTTGCGCTTGCAGTAACCTCCTTTGGCAGGTTGCCCGTAGGTTCGTCCATTACAAACACGGCACGCATCCCTTTGCGCCAGTAACGACTAGCCTGAGCCAGGGGCAGCCGCTGCGGAGTGCAGGGCGCCGTGTATACGAAATCGTCGTTGCGGAGGGTACGCCGGGTGGGATTGGGGTGTGGGTCGGGGTCAGGATCGGCAGCGCCGTTGGAAAGCTCGTCCCCTTGAGCCTGTTTAGGGGACCTGCCGATATGCTTGCCAACGCTTGGAATGACGTCTCGGTCTGTAGTGGACCATAAGGGAGGTATAAATTGACGGGCTACCAGCTCCGCTGGGATGATGCCATCCGATGCTTGCGTTACTGATTTTCGCAGCAGCGCTTCCGTGAGCCGTCTGAGACTACCGCCAGACTGCCCCTTCGCAGCTGTAGACAATGTGCTTACAAGAGCCACGACCATCAATGCCGCAACACGCCGACGAAGCAACATTCCGCACGCCGCCTAAAGACTGCGAAATACAGGAAATAAACCCAGTCAATGTAGGACACGCAAGGAAACCGAGCCGACGAGACGTTTGCGACGCGGCCTTCCAGTTGACAGCCACGATTACCTTCTCCTCACCAGCAGCGTAGAGTGCCGGAAGAGCCGGTATATGCTGCACAAATTTAAATGATGCAAGCCTAGTAGCTATTGCTGCTACGTGACACCGGTATTCAACGTATGTCTTGTAGTTATCCTGGAAAGCTAATTCCAATCGAAAAGCGGGTGGCAATTAATATGTTTTGTGGGTCACGTGTTTGTATATACATTCACGTCACGCTGTCGCGTCCTATTTATAAGGAGGGGCAGCTGCGTCTTCGTACTTTTGCAACGATGGTACATTGTACATTTAGCATACTTTATATGCCCAAAACGCGTTAAAACTTAACACAAATTGCGTGCATTACCCACTACGCGGAAAGCTTTGGAGGATGGTGGACCGCTGCCTGTTGAGTTCCTGCATGCCATGGGCAGTTGACCCGAGCTTCTGCTCAGCTCCCGCGACACGACCTTTGACCCGCTGGGTCAGGATACACAAACGTATAATCGTAAGTGCCCTTCGCTGTACTGAAGTACAGCTCATTGGTACTTTGGTAACTTCACGCTGGAGTTTCACGCCATCACGAAGCTCATCACCCGCACGCCTCCACCCGCGGGGCGACTGAAACGTGGGGGCCATGTACATCACACCGAAGCCGTCACCTTTCAAGGAGTTAATTTAACTAAGTGCTAAGTGTTGCTTGCATCCAGTCAAATACCAGTACAAATACCTAAAACCCAAATACCCAAATACCTGTACGCTGCCATTCGCACGTGACCACACGGATGCCAGCACTACCCGTCACCTCCTTCGAACCCTTGTGGCATGCCTGTCTCTGTCCGGAGCCCTCAGGCTCTGCGGCCCATCCACAGGCCTTAGGCAGGTAGTCCAGGCAGTACAGCGCCCCCCAAGCCTGAGCCCGAGCTAATTGGGCTTCCACGCGAGCCGATGCTGGGCCCCCGCTTGCCTTGTGTACCCACCAATGGAGTTGGGGCAGGGATGTAAGGCAGGGACCGCGGACCAGTATGACACACGGAAGGGCCCCTGGGTCGGGGCGTGGCTGAGCATTTCTCTTCTCGCCGCTCGCGTAGCCTAGGTAAATGGTAGGTCAAGTGTTCTATAGGCATGTTACAGACCTCTGGCCAAAACTGTCAGTCCTGCCCATTGAGATTGTACGGGCTGTGCCGTATCATGCCTTGTGCAGGCTTGCATTGCATCTTTTCAACACTACGGACCGTCATAATCTTCAAAGAAGTTGTAAATGGCGCTCCCTTCCACTTGTGTTAGCCAGTGCATTGCTTAGGAGCGTGACAACGTGCCTCGGGCTTTTTCCTTGACAGTTCCCTGCGACAAAGACGTCACAAGACCCATTAGAACGCTCTGTTGAGGAATCTAGGATACTGGTGCTAGCCAAAATCGCACATCGATAACATGCAAGCGGCCATATTGCGCAACAGTCTCTGTAATAAGGTGCGCCGGGAAAGCGCCCAGACGGGTTACGCAAGCCGCACTAGTCACCTCGTCGATACCCCACCCCATGCTGTGTCCCTATCCTCAGGGAAAATGAGGTAACACACTCTCCCCGGGGCACTTCTAAAATCACTTCCAGTGAGGTGCGGCATTGAATAGGGGTCCAATAAGGCGCAGCACTAAAGCCACCGGGGTCAAGACCCAGCAGTTAACCAGGAGTTGCAGCAGCAGCAGCAGCGGTGGTACCGTAGTGGTGGTTATGATGGATCCATGCCCCGCTGCCGTGCCCAAGACTGCCCACGACCCGCATGAGGATATAACGCAAGCACACGGGCAGCAGGAATGCTCAGGATCCGGTCCTCAAGAGCACCGACCCAATCAAGGTGTTGCTGCCACTGCTACTGACTCTGCTGCTGTGGCGGGGCCGCCGGCGGGGCCATCCGCGCTAGCTGTGAGGCCTGGGGGAGCCCCACCGACCTCTTCTGCGGGGGGCCCCCGCAGTCTGCAGGAGTGCTGCTGCCGGGTGCGGTGTTGCTTTTCGTAACCTTGCAAACAGGGATTCGATGTAAATGACGTACCGTACGGTATTAGCCCTTCCATGTATTCCTGCACCTCTCTTGTCTCAACTTTCCCTTCTTTCCACACCATCCTCTTCTTGACAGCCTATCTTTAGCATGCCTCTCCCCCTTGCTGCTTCCCTCCTGATAGGCCTCTTCCGCTACCCCCCCCCTGCCCCCCCCCCCGCCCTGCCCACAGCAGGTCATTCAGCGCCACCTCAGCGTCCACAACTGCCTTGAGCTGTTGCAGGTCGGAGGGGCGGGGGACAGCAGCCGCAGCAGCGGGGGAGAGGGAGTGGCAGAAGGATTGAGGGTAGCAAGGCGGTTGCACTGGGGTTTGGGGCGAGTTGGGACGGCACAGGAACGCGCCCTGAGACGTGTTTAGGAGTATGCGTCTGAAGGCTTGAGACGCGGTGCCTACGCTGCCGTCTCACGGCGTTCCCGCACCTGGGAGGTGAAGCTGTTGTTGCGGCCGCCGCGCCCACTGCCGGTGTACCGTGGCCCCTCCCCCTTAAAGGTGTGTCAGGGAGCGGAGGCACCGGCTCTAGCGGCCCTGGAGTCAGCCAGCAGGCAGTACGCAATTACCAGGTGAGAAGGTTATCCAGCAAAAGCAGCGCTACTGCGCAAGGTTCCTAGAGGTAACCGGCAGTTGGCTGTGCCGGTTACCTCTAGGAACCTTGCGCAGTAGCGCTGCTTTTGCTGGATAACCTCTAGGCAGTTGGCTGTGCGGACATGAGTCGCTTTGGGTCGTCTGGTGATATCTGCTTAGGGTCGGACAGACTCGTGAAGTGACCCATGGGTCGGTCGTAGGCAACTCTTTGCTTGTAACTCCTCCAATCCACAACGCCAAACCCGCGACCTCCAATCAACGGCAATCATTGCCCTGTGTATTGGGCCCGTACGACGCAGTTTTGAGACGCTCCAGGGGCTGCGCAGTCCCGAGCAGCTGCAGGCCGCCCTGGGGGGGCAGGTGTACGACAGCCTGCTTGCGGCGCAGCGGGAGCGGCAGGAGGGGCGGGCGGCGCTGCAGGCGAGGTTGGGGCGGGTTCTGGAGCGGCAGCAGGTGGTGGTACCTGTGCCGCCGCAGGATGGGGCGGGGCAGGCGGCGGCAGGAGAGGCAGGAGGCGCGGCTGCGGAGGCGTGGAAAGGGGGGCCGTCGGCTGCAGGTTGGTACGGGATCAGTCAGGGCGCGATCTCGGATCTCGCTAATGGTTATGGTGGCCTAGGCAGCATGGCGTGAGGGCTGGAGAGCGGCATCCGGCTGCCCGTGTAGCGCTTCATGGAAGCCCCGCCAGCGGCACTGCTGGAGGATACCACCTCCTGACGCAGCCTGTGAGGAGGTTACCAACCTGGGTTTGTACCGCACTCCCTGCGGCACACGTCCCTGTCCATGGCCCTTTCATGGCACCCTTTATCGCCAACAGTCATAGGGGCCACGAGACACCCTCCACCCTCCTCGCCTCGCCCCGTTGCCCTCCTACGTGCACCTCCATCTGCCCCTTCATTAACCCTCCTCTGCCGCCCCTTACGGTACTGCAGGCAGGCCAGTGTCCTACCCTCCCGAGGCGCTGCGGCCGGGTGTTGCCTGGCCCCCGGATGTGGACCCCGCCTGCCGGGAGGAGTGGCTGGCGGAGGCGGACTTCAGGCGGCTGTTCGGGGGGCTGGACTGGCGGCAGTTCAGAGGGCTGGCAGGGTGGCGGCGGAGCAGGATGAAGCAGGCGGCGGGGCTGTTCTAGTGGCGTGACAGGATGCACCGAGCTGCTGGGGACTTATAGCCGTATAGCCCATTGAGTAAAACAACGCATGTCAAGTACTTTCTGGGCATTACGGTGATCGCTTTGCAGGGATTGATACCGGTAGGTAGGAATGGTTCAGCAAGGGGATGGGCTGACCGGCTGGCTGGAGAGGGGTGCCATGGCGTATGGTGTGAGCTGGGTGCTAGGCATGCGTAGGATGGTGAGTCCGGTTATGCTGTAATGCTCTTCCAAGTAGAGTAAAGGTACGGCAAGGAGACGGTACAAGACTGTGTGAAGCCATGTCGTGGGTGTGTCCCCAGGTCCCGCCCCTCGTAGCAACCCCTCAACCCTGCGTAGGGGATACAGGAGAAGAGACTTCACCGCCGCGGGTGCACGCCCACGCTCACATGCGGGCGCTGCCTTGCACCGCACCTGCATCCATCACATCCTGCATCACGTCGAGTCGGCCCTAGGGGCCCGACTCGACACACGACCCCTAGACACCACCTCTGCCGGTGTTCTTCCGCGTGTCCCTGCCCCCGCCTCGCCACTACCGGTAGTAGGGCCGCCAGACAACCCTAGACGCAGAAACGCCGACCAGTCACCTATCCCCACTTCCACACACGGTAACAACACTTCCAACCGCTGCGCACTGCCACCGTTGCTCCAACCGCGGCTTGGCTCCAGGCATCACATCAACAGCGATACACGTAAGTGAGGCGCTTCGGCCAGGGAACGCCTCCACGGCACATCAACAAACACATGCTGCGCTCTCACCCCTGCAACCCCACACTTCTCGAAGAGTTCACATAGCTCTGTCCTCGTTCCTAAAGAAGCAACAGCAGCTGCTCCGCTCTTATCGCAAGATACAGACACTTAGGACGCTGCTTGCCATCTACTACCTATAGTAAAGCCCTCGGCGACGGTCGCGTAAGCCCACAGAATAAAAACGGAGCCTCGCATCGCACACACTCGCTCTGCACCGCCATTGCCCTTGCATTCGCAGCAGTGACAGCAGCACCAGCAGCTCCATGCTAGCAAGACACCCTCAACTGCATCACGCAGGGCCCCTGGTGAACCCTGCAAACGGCGCCAACAGCACTTTACTCCTACCCACTCTTACCATCACAGCTATTGCTCCTGCTGCCGCTACCTGCCGTGGCGCCGCTTCTGTGAACCCGCACGCCCCTGTGGCTTCGCCCTTGCTGCCTCGTGCCCTTCTCAACGGGCCCCTGCTGGCCACTGGCTCCCTCGGTAACATGCGCAGCCTTTCCTTTCGCCTCCTCCGCTCCTCGCCCCGGCGCAATCCACTTGCCTGCACGCCCGCGGCCATTCCAGCGGCTCGCTCCTTGCCGCTGCTTAATGCTACTGCCGCTGCTGCTGCTGCTACTGCTGCCCACAGTACTCGTACCGGCGCCTGCACTGCGCGCCACCTGGTCATCGCTGGTACGGTCGTCTGAAGACTCATTGGCTTTGGCGTCACTGCCACTGCTTTCCGAGCGCTTCTTCCTGGCCGCCATCTTCTGTTGCCACACCGCTTCCTGCCTCGCCAGATGCTCCGGTGTCCTCACGGCGCCGACAGGCAACCCCAAGTCAGTGGCGGTCGCCGACGGCGGCCTTAACGGCACCTGCAGCCCCAGCATGACGGCAAGCGAGGACTCCAGCTCCGCAGCAGCAGCGGGGCTGAGCAACGGCCGCGGCGCTTCGCTGCCAGCGGCAGCAGCGGCCGCCGCCGCTGCGTTGGCACGCTCGAACGCTGCCGCCGCCACCGCTGCCGCCGCCATGTTTGAGGGCTGTGCTTGCGGCGCTTGTGGTGGCTGCTGCTGCTGTTGATGTGGCAGGAGCAGTGAGCCCAACGGTGGCACGGGTCCCGCTGCTGCACCTGCTGCCACACGGTCTTGCGCCTGTACCAACGCAGCATTGCGCATGAGCACATTCCGTACGATTCGCACCAACGGCTCCTCAGGTACGGCACGGTATCCCAGCGCCGCCAGTGCCGCCACCACCTGCTTCAACATCTCCGGCGTCAGCGGGTTCATGGGCGGGGCCACGAACGCCCGGCCCTCCGGAGACCGCACCACTTGGCCGCCGCTAGGCACCACGCCGCCAGCCCGGTACGACATCGTCCCCACCAGGGGCCCCGGCGTGGGTATCAACACGCCGCCGCCGCTGCCGTCACCGCCTTCGTTACCGGCAACCTCCGCCGCCGCCGACGTATCAGCAGCGGGTACGACAACTGCGGCCCGCGGCACCATCGCCGCCGTCGACGGTGGCGGCGGCGGCGAACGGATGAGGTCTACCGTTCGCTGCGCCGCCGCCGCCAGCCATTGACGGCCGGGTGCGAACTCGGGTTTGGGCAGGTGGCGAATGGCGGTGAGGATGGCGGCGAGGCCGGGGCCGTCAAAGTCGGGTAGGCGGCACATGAGGATGGCCAGGAAGTCGTCCGCCCAGCGCGGGTCCGCCACACCTGGGGTGCCGATGTGGACCATGGCTCCCAGCAAGGTTGCGTAGTCCCGAGTGCTGAAGGCGCTCCACATGAAGCGAGCAGCCTGCACAGGGAGTAGCAGGAGGTGTGGGGTCAAAAGGGGCAAGGGAAGTGGAACAAAAATGGAACAAATTTGGCGCTGTACAGATGTGGCTGTAGGAAAGCCGGTAGTTCCATCTGCCTTCTTCCAACTCTCCTTCAACCCACCACCCTCTCACTCCGCCAGCTACCCAGTCACCCCCCCTCATGTACCCACCCATTCTCCCCACCTGCGCATAGTTGTACAGGAATCCAAAGTCCGGCTTAATCCCCAGCACTGCCAGCGAGCCCGCCAGCCCCGCCAAGCGCGCAGGGCAGGTGTGACGCAGACTGAACATGCGAGTGGACCGAAGCACTCCCCCCACGAACGCATCATTGGGCGGCCGAGGAATGAGCACGGGCTGCTGCTGCTGCTGCTGCACCTGCGGCCCTCCCTGCTCCTCGATTTGACCCTCGCTGCCGTTGCCATCGCCCTCGGCGACCTGAAATATGCCCAGCTGCGACGAAGCACCCGCAGCCGACGACGCCGGCACAGGCACCCACCCCATCTCCACCGCCTTCTCCCGCGGAACCATGGGTCGCGGCAGCCGCGCCATCGCCGCCATGAGGTCGCACACGCCGCGTGTGTCGTACGTCTTGCGCGCCGTCAGCTTCTCGAACTCCGTCATCCAGGCGTTCCAAAAGGCCTCCCGCCCCGGCGGAGGCGAGTAGCCCAGGTTGCCCAGCGCCGTGAGCAGCAGGATGAGGTCGGTGGGGCCGCAGGAGTGCAGCTTGCCGTAGGAGGCGGAGAGGACGTCGTCCAGGAACTGCAGTACAGGCCACACAGCACAAGTGCACAACATGGTATCGTGCATGAGGGTGGGTGGTGGTGGTGGTGGTGGGTGAAGCAGGGTGGGGGGTGGGCGGTGTGGACGCATGGGGTTGCGGCTGGCGCCATGCGGGACTGGATGGCATGAGGAGGCGGGGGCTAGCAAAACGGCTGGTTACGGCCTTACGGGCATTCGGTATACCGCCACGACAACAAAGTCGCTATACAAGGACGAGGCAACGAGCTTCAAGCTCCGCGCTCACCCACCCAACCCAACCCAACCCAACCCACCGCAGGCGTGGCTCTCAGCCCCAGCACACTCAGCCCCCACACCGCCGACGCCATTGCTGAGCCGCTGAAGCTGCCCAGCCGGCGCGCGCGGATCAGGTGGTCCGCCACCGCCGCCGTCCAGCCGGCCGGCGGGCGCATGCGGCCTGCCGGCGGGGCGGCCAGACGGCCCATGGCGTTAAGCAGGTTGGCAAGGTGCGCGGGCGCGAAGGTGGGCAGCTTCTCCAACACATCGGCCAGGAACTCCTGAGGGGGGAGAGGAGGGGGGAGGGAGGAGGGACGAGGGGAGCCGGATAGGCACTGCGCTGCATGGGATGGCGAGGCTGGGATAATAGCAGGTCTTGTTCCCCGCCTCTTCCTTTCGCTACCTCCTCCTTCTCCTCTTCCTTCTGTCAAATGCGCTAACCCCGGTTTCCTTCAACGCCTTATCCCCCATCCCCTTCCCACACCATATTCCACCTCCGTATTTCACGCGGCTCAGTTGTTATACAATCCCACTGCCACCACCAATTCCACCCCCCCCATCCCGTCCCCCCCCCGCACCAGCATGAAGTCCTGCTGCACCAGCCGCTCCAGCAGCGCGGCCGCCTGCGCAAAGGTGGCCAGGTCGCCGTCATCAGCCAGCGGCAGCCGCGAGTGCATGCAGCTGTAGTAGGCGCGCAGGAAGGGCGGCTCGGGCTGGTAGCGCAGGGAGGCGAAGGCCAGCATGGCCTGGTGAGGGAGAGGGAGTGGGGAGGGAGGGAGGGAGGTAAGGAGCGGAGGAGAGAAGAGGAGGAGGAGCACAACACGAAAAAGGGGTGCGTCCCCTGTCCTACGAAGCGGCATCCCGGAAATAACCCGTACGGCAGCTTGAGCCGTTGCAGGCGAGGAGCCTTTCATCTTGGGCGCTTCTGAGGATCCCCGCAACTCCCCTCACTCCCCGATCCACCGGTCAGTGCTTCCCCTCGGCTCGGCATCGCCCACCACTGCCCCCCCCACCCCGCCGTTACTGCCAGCTACTCCACCCTACGGGCTGCGCTTACTGCTGGTGCGTCATAGTATCCTACACTCTTCACTCGTTGGATACCTTACCATCAACGCATACGCCACATTGATCTCTTCTGCTGGACGCCATCGTCAACGGGTCACGGTCAGTGGTTCCTCGCGGCTCAGTTTATCTAATCCCCCCCGCCCCCACCCACCTGCGACAGCGAGTGGGAGCCCAGCGAGTCCATCTTGTTGAGTAGTGCGGTGGACAGCCGAGCCATCCACTCGGCGGGCGGGCGGTAGCGCAGCTCGGACAGCGCCACCAGGGTCTTGACCTGGGTGGGGGGTGGGGTGGGGAGGAGTGGGAGGAGAGGTGCGAAGGGAGGGGGCGGTGTTCGTCATTGTGCTGCTTTCCGCGCTAGTAGTTAGTAATGAGAAGAGGCCCGCCTTAGACGCCTAGCCTACGTGCAGGTTTGGGTGAGCTGAACCTCCACAACCCCCCAGCCCCCTTCACCGGTGCTCCCCTCACATCCCGCTCAACGTTGTACAGGTAGCCGCAATACCCCAAAACACACGCAGCGGGATACCGGTGCCGCGTCCCCGCTCCCCCCCCGCTCACCAGCTCATCTCCCCGGTACGACGCCAGTTGCCGTTGTACGGACGTGAGGTACCGACTCATCCAGGCGTCCCAAGCGGCGGCCTGCTTGAGGTCGGAGGGGTCGGTGTAGATGCGGGCCATGGACTTGAGGGTGGTGGTAAGGAAGGAGGGGGCTGCGGGGGGCAGGGAAGTGGGGTTAGGGTTAGAAGAAGAGTAACACACGCCCCGCGTTCCACTTTCCTCTACTCGCGCCCCGTTTCATGTTCCCATCCCAGGTTCCTGGAAACCCCGCCCCAGCCTTGCCCGGCCCCAGCCCGGCCCTACGCGACCCAGCAATATCCACCCCGTATGTACGGCGTACGGCACACCGGTGCCTCCCGTACTCACATGCGTTGTACAGTCGCGGCTTGCTCTGCACCAGCACCGCCGCCATCCACTCCTCCGGCGGCACGTAGCCCAGCTTGGAGACAGCCGCCAGGATCACCACAAACTCCTGCGGGCAGGTGGCGCAGCAACCGCAGCAGCCGCAGCGAGGACAACAGAAACCCTTACTACCGGTAACCAGCTACTAAAAAGACACGCAAGGCAGCATGCAGTGTCTTAACGATGGGGAAGCAGACGCTACAGACCTGATCCACTGACTTTAGCTTTCAGCCTTCCAGCCCAGAGCTTGAAAGGGTTAAACGGTATGGTGCCGTAACATGCCCAATAAACATGCCCATTCAACCGGCAGGTCAGGGCCAATTTCCCAGCAGCTGATGCAACGTAACCCCCCGCCCACGCACCTGCATGGTTAGTACGTCCAGCTTGGGCGTGATGCGTTGCAGCAACTCCACCAGCAGCGCCTGCGTCGCACTCCACACCCGCACAGTCATGGTAGTGGGCTCCTGCAGCGAGGCCAGGTGGCTGATAAACAGTATCGCCTCCTGCCGTACGATGCAGCTGCCGTACTTGTCGTACAAGCTGCGCAGGGCGTCCAGATCGGCGCATGCGCGTATGAGCTTTTCCAGTTCGGCACGGATGGGTCGGCGGTTGGAAGCGGTGAATGCTTCGGCTTGCGCAGACGATGCGAGGGCAGCTCGGGCTGGGGTAGCGAAGGGCTCGGTGGTGGTGGTGGCGGTGGAATCAGAGGCGGTGGGGAACACCCAGGGAAAGGGAATACCTGGTCCAGGCGAGGGGGATTGAGGCGTGAATGGTGGAGGCAGAGCTCGCAGTGATTGCCGCCCCGGAGAGGATGGGGGAGATGGGGGTTCCCTGTCAAAGGAGCCAAGAGGCGGGTGGCCGTACTTCGGGCTACCCGCTGGGGATCCGCCAGAAGCTGCAGATGCAGCGGCGGGAGATGGACCCCCAGCGGCGGGATGGGAAAACGCGGTGCCGTACAGCGCGTTGTACACAACGTCACCATCGTCTTCCATGCTGTGACTGCCAGTCTTCCGCCGCCTCTTCTGCTGCGACATCTGGGCTATGCGCAGCTGCGACATCCGCTCTCCCAGACGAGGCGCGAGGGGCGCGTCCGACATTAGCACACCTGTGCGGCTGTCAATGATGCCAGCACCGACGCTTGCTGAAGGCCCTGGGATCACATCTGCGAGCTGTGCGGCACGCTCCTGCAGCTTGCGAGTCACCTTCCTTACGATGCTAGTTTTCATGTAGGCACCCAAGGGCACATCCTCCTGCTGGAGATTCGGAGGCGGCGGTGGAAGGACGTCAGGCGCTGGGCCTGCTCCAGGTTGTCCAGCAGCCCCCCGGGACGGGCTCTGCGGAAGGGGTGCTCGCGCGCGTGCACGGAGCTGTGGCTTGCTGACAAGCTCCACTTGTTGTCGCTGTGGAGGGTGCGATGCCGATGCTGCTATCCCTACGCCTGGGCTATCATTTAACCCTAGATAGTCCTCAGCTTGCGCGTGGCCCAATTCGACTTCGTCTCTCCTGCTACCTTCCAACGTTGTCTGCAAGCAAACGAAAACCCCGGAATTCAGGTGTCAAATTAAGGGAGCCATGACTTGCATTCGTCTTCCAAGCGACAACAAGCCAGAGCTGATACAATTGGCATCGATGTGCTACATATATTGGCCTGATCATACCTGGTCTCCCAATGCCATCGAATTTGTACTGGCGCGTGAGACAACAGCAACAATTTGCGTCTTTCGCGGTGAACGGCGGCGCAGAGGACACGGTCCGAGCATTCCTATCAACCATTGATGCTTTAAATGGCATGGTGTCAAAGCCTGCGTTGGAAATTCTCAGATATTACACCTGTCGACGATAACAACTCGTGCAAGCTGACCCACATAACGCCCTAACCTGCGTGTTTAAGATCGGTCCTGAGCTACCAGCTGCAGGAACGCCTAGGGCGGTGTTCGAAAATAACAAGGACATCCTGCCAAGCCCCAAAGTCCCAAGGCCGCAAAGCGGTCGAGATGCCAGTTCAGCCCTAATCCGCCATATGCGCTTATTTATATAAACGAACAGCAATGGTTGATGTCTCGCGATGCTCATACAAGAGTCATTGCGGTGAATGAAGGGAAGCCGTACGGAATCCGATCTGCATAATCGTAGAAACATACCCGCAGGCCACCCAGTTAAACCCAGTTAAACCGTAAGCGCCATGTAGGCAACACCATATACACATCTCATGCACCAAATTCAATGACTATTTTCCTCCTCTGGGGCGCTTGTTTGGGTTTCCCAGCCCGTCAGCAGCGGACCGCTTCTGCCCTGTCGCCGCCAGGGGTGCCCCTCTTGACGGACCCGCGCGCCCCTGCCGTGCAGCACCTGCGCCAGCTATAGTCGTCGGGGGCCGCGGGAGATTCGACTGCCGGCGAACGGTACCTGTGTTGCAACCAAAGATGATGCATAGCTTTAGGTCGTAAGTTGTTCTCTGAGGGACACGTGAAGAGACGGGAAAACGGACTTTCGAAACAACATGTAGCCAAGCGCAAGATAGCGCACTATGCACGTGGAAGTGCTGTAAGTGCAGCAGTTAGGGGTCCCAGCCATCCGTAAAGATGTCCTCCGGAACCAGCAGTAGGTCTCCGCACCTGGCGGAGCAGCCCCCGAAGCCGCCGCCATGGACGCTGCCCCGGGGGCGGCGGCGGCAGCACCAGCGGCGCTAGGAATGCGCCTGCCGATGGTGGGATTGCCGCTGCCAGCTGCAGCGCCTGGGCGTGCTGCAGGTGGCCCGGGGCGGGCTGAGGCTGATGGCGCTGTTTGTGCTGCTGGACGGGTCTGAGCTGCACGGCTGATCTGTCGACCACCGTTTGGCCGAGGCGGGTCCTGCCTACCCGGGTGAAACGCGGGCAACCCCGCACCCGCTGAATATATCACTCCCGCTGCCCCTGCGTTTCCTGGTGGTGGGTTGCCCCGTCGACGCGCCTCACCTGCGTCGCTTGCCATGCTGGCCCTGCCGTCGCCGCCGCCGCCACCATCGCCACCGCCAAGAAGGGGCATCGTGTTCTTCCGCGCACCGCCCTTGGCGCACGACTCGCAGCCGTTGACCTTGAGGGCGAACCTCAGGGAGCACAAGCTTTCGCCCGCGGATGCCGGCTCAGGGTTGATGTTGACGAACATCAGCGTCTTGCCGTTGCCTCCGAGGCATGGCTGTAGTGTGCAAAGGATGCGCGTGCGGCATGCCAGGGTGGGGACGGTGGCAGAGTTAGCATGACTTTGCGGAGCAATCTTTTACCGGCAAGTAATGAAAGCTACGGCTACAGCTTGAAGTCAGTCATATGGGCTGCATCCACCCTTAACAAGAACTATATAACTCAGGGTTGTCAGGACCTCAGGAATGTGACATGGGATCCAGGGACATGTACGGGATCGGGTTGTTCCCCTAAAGCCGCGCAGGATTTGCAGTGACAACTTGCCTGCAGGAGGTACGTGAGCTTGGAGTCTCGGTAGGGAATGTGACTGGACTTTGCCGACAGCTTCTCAAAGACCGAGCCAAGCGCGGTCAGGGAGGAATTGATGGCACGGGCCTCTAGTTGGGCCTTGCCCTCGACCAGGGAGCGGTCCAGTCGCTCGCTGCGCACGCATGGGAGACGTGGGGCTGTGCTTTGGAGGCGACATTAACAAACAAGGAAAGGATTTGGCTAACAGCGCAAGATACAGGACAAGCACGAACCATTAGACATGAGGAAACAAAGCCGCGAAGCACCCAGCCCACATCCACACCTTCCAGCAAGGTCGACAAGGCACAGGCAGCCCTGGTTGTGGTGGAAGAGGGTAGCGTGGCATGGGAGGTCAGTTGCGGCCAAGCGAAACCGGGGCTAGGTGTACACATAGGTGCTTAAAGTGGAAGTGGACGCATGCACCGCATGTATGGCACCCCTAACAACTAGTCCCCAAGTAATAGGGCGGCGTCATCAGGCGGCCTGTTGGTGTCCACAAAACTGTCGTGTTCGTGTGGTGCCCTGACCTACTGTCAGCTACCTGCCACTGACCTGCAGTCGGGTGGCGCTCTCCTCGTGCTTGCCCGTGATGTACAGCATGAACACGACATGCGAGCGGCTGGAGGCGCTGTTCATTGCGGTCGCCTCAACGGCCCGGGCAGCAGACGCCTGCCGAATCAGCTTTAACGCGCCCTCCATGTCATCCACGGGGACCTTTTTGACGCCTGGCATGAATGAGTGCATAAGGATTGCGGGGTGGGTATCGTCAATGTGGTGCAGTGTCCGTGGGACAATGCGAGGAAGCACTGAAGCCACGCTGGATGTTCAAAGACTTTGCCAGCAGTTTATCCTACCTTCTTATAGCCATGAAACCGGCCTTCGCGAGGCCCCCAACCACCCGTCCTGCTGGTGAACTGCAGCTAGCCATGCAACCGTGTTGCGTACCTTGCACGATAGTGTGGCCGCCGTCGGAGTCGTGCTTAATGGCGTTGGGGTCGTTGATATACTGCGGCTTGTCCCCCTTCTTCTCTGGCTCCCAAAGCAGGTCACGCAGCTGGTTGTTGTAGATCTCAATGAAGGAGGCCTCCATCGTGTACTGCCACTCCGCCTCCTCCCCCAGCTTGCGAGCTGTCGCCAGGATCTGGGAATACACAAGGGTCGGACAGCGCGACTTGAGGTTGGATAACGAGGTGATATACTTCTACAGAGAACCAACAATGCCGGGCTCTGCTCATTCATAAGTGCAAAGCATTGAGATGCTCACCTTCTCCACCGCACGGGGGATGATGCCCCGTGACGCGGGCGTGTCACCACCTTGCATGGTGTGCGTCTTGCCAGCTCCGGTCTGGCCGTAGCTAAAGATGCACACGTGGTAGCCATCCAGGGAGCTCTGCACCAGCTCCGAAACCGCCGCAAATACCGAGTCCTGCGTGCTGTCCGCACCGAAGACGCGGTCGTACGAGAACTTGTGCTCCTTGCCGTCCGCCGCCAACGTGATTGACGCGCCGTCTTGGCCGATGCGCGTCGATGGCGAGTGGTGCGGCCTTACGCGACAGTAGACTCGAATCTAAAGGGGCATCGCGCATGGCAAGGCGTTATGGAATAGCCGTACTGTTTACTGGGATTTGGGTGGCCATGACTGACCCTAATGTTGCGGTAACACCTTAGCCCCCTGTCGTACCTGCGGACAGCCCCAACCTATGCTAACTGCGTGCTCTACAGATGAAGGATGTAGGACGCGACCAGCTGCAATCCCTATTGCTCCTTGCCACACGCAAGACTGAAGTGTTCCGGCATAACTTACATTGCCGCGCAAGTCCACCAGCTCGTTGTGCAGCTTCCGACGCACGGCTTCAGCAGCCGCAGCAGCACTCTGCGTTAAGGATGGAATAAGCACTGGCTATCAGTGGTTTGCCGCCTCCCATGGCATGATGCAAAGCCTAAGTTGCACGCGCTCACACCTCAAACCAGGCATGCTGCCGGATAGGACATCGACAAACCCAGTAGCCAATACCTGGAGTGTTGCGATCTTGGATAGCAGCTTCGTCACGATGTCCATGCCAGTTTCACCAGCGGCGCTCGCAGACTCGCCAAGCACCTCCTTGAGCGCGCTAAACTCGCCTGCAGGATTAAGAGCGATCAGCCTAGGTCGGAGCCTCATCCACCCAGATACTACGCAAACACCCCACTGTCACCTAGCCCGTTACCAAGCACGTGAGCGAGCAGTCGTCTCCACCATGCACCATGCCTGCTCACCCTCGAGGTGTGCGATGCGCTCGTCCTTTGCCTCGTGCTGCTGCCGGCTGGCGGATAGTTCAGCCTCCAAAGCCTCCATCCTCTCGCGTGCCGCCGCTGCCGCCTGATCGAGCTGTGTGCAGCGGCTCTCAGCCAGCTCGATCTACGGGGGATGGACGTGAACGCGCCACAGATATAAGAATCTGGTGCAGCCAACGAGCGAGAGAGCAGCAAGACCGCATGCTGTATTCTGTATATACGTATGCATGGTGTGAACGGCCAGGGTTCTACGTGACTTCCATTCAATGCCTTACTTGGTTCTCAAAGTCAATACGCTCACGTAGCAGCGCCGCCCGCTCCGTCGCCTCCTCTGCGGCTCGAGCCTCCGCCGTGTCTGCCTTAACTATGGCTGCGGCTAGTGCACTCTTGACCAGTGCAAGGTTGTCGTTGAGCGTAGCACGGTCGGCCGTAAGCACCGTCACCGATGCCTGATTGGGACACACGGGCAAGCAACACACGCCACATCACTGCGTTGTCATCCGACTGGCAACAGGATGATGGAGCAATGCGAGCCAGAGCCAATGCAATGGAGGACGGCGCCTTGCCCTCATCCGCTGTCAAAGCGTTCCTTGCGATCAAACTATCCCTCATTGCAGCTCGCCTTTACGCGTATCATTGCCGTCGCAACACACCGCCCCAACACACACCTCCAGCTCGATGCGCTTGGCCTCCCACTCCGCCTTGTCTTCAGCGGCACGGCGCTCGACCGCGCTCAGCTTCACACGGTGTGCCTCCAGCTCCACTGACTGCTGCTCCAGCATCGCTGCCAGCTCCTCGCGGTCCTGCTTGATGCGGGCCAGCTCTAGCTGCAGCTGTTGGTCATTTTCCATCAGCGACGCCACCTGCTCTCGCTTCGAACTTAGCTCCGCTCGCAGCTGCACACGAAAGGAACGGGGCGCAACCAGCAACGCGTGATCTCAAGCAAGAGCGAGGAGAGAAAGACAACATCCTGGTGAAAATTGGAAGACTTGCTCAGTGGGACATGCAAGGGTAGCAAGACGGAAGCTGAAAACACAGCTCAACCAGTGACATCCGCAGTTACCTTGTCAATCTGCTCCTGCTGCATAGCCGACGTCGCTTCCTTAGCGGACAGAGCGCCGGTCAGGCGGTCGACCTGGGCACCCAGCAGCTGCGCCTCCTCTTCCGACTCTTTCAGGGCTTTGTCTTGCAATATCCTCGTCTTGTCGAGCCGCTCGATCTTCTCCTGTTGGTTGGTTCAATACACACCACAAAGGAACCAACCGCATTACGTAGAGGTATGTGGCCACAGAGGAGCATCTTTGTAGCAGATCTAGTAGAGGATCAACACAACAAGTTACTATACGCACCTGAAGGCCGGCGATTTTGCCGTCAGCGGCGATCTTGTCCTCCGTCAGTAAGCGAACGGCCTCGCTCTGGGTAACCGATGCCTCGCGCATTTGTTGATGCGAGGTCTTGCGCAGCTCCTGCACAGTTGAGCGTGTCCATGATGAATGAGGCACACTGCTGATGGAAGGAGGGTCGTGAGGGGCAGGCACCCTGGCCCAGCAACGGGCCTAGTGTAGTACAGAAATTGCATGGCAACGATAGACATGGTACGTCAGCGTGGCACACCTTTAGCTCGGAGTCCAGCTGCTGCCGTTGCTGCTCGGCGCGCTTCGCGTCGTCACGTGCCCTGTCGCGTTCCTCCGTGACCCGCTCCAGCTCGCGTGACAGCCGAGACACCTGTAATCCATGAAAACAAGTAGGGGGTCGGCAACGCAGCAACATGGCGGAACATGGGAGCCTGGCTGGAAAGCGTCATGAGCAAGCGTCCACGACAAGAACGCTGTGGCCCCAGCAGGTTGGTAGACAAAGATTGACTACCGTATAAGGCAACTAGGTACACTGGCAGGCGTATCATGCAGCCACGATCACCTCTGCGCGCACGGTCTCAAGGTCGAAGCCAAGCTTGGCCTTGTCTTCCCTGCGGCCAGCGCGAGCGGGGAAACGGTCGGGTAGCTGGTATTTGAGGTTCTGTTTTTGCCCGCTTCGCCGTGCAGTAAGGCAAGGGCAGCAACGGCTGCGTCAAGTTGTCGCTCAAGGTGCCCCTCGCATACCTGGACTCGCGCTCACATTGCGCAAGGTTCAGCCGGACAGTTGCGACCTCAACCTCTAACTTCTTGCACATTGATTGCGCGGCAAGCTGAGCCGCCTCCACCTGCAATACGTGTAGAGCATACGAAACGTCAGGCCCATGATGTAATGGAGGGACGATGCCTGAACATACGATGCAAGCCGTAAACTCGGACTGGATTGCTTGCTTGCCAGCAAGGTTATGGGTGGGAGGGGTGTAAACGTGTAAAGAAGCCCACCACCCAACAAAGAAACAGCATGCTCTTCCGGAAAGGGTGGAGGACAGAGCGGCATCTGCATGCGGAATGCAGGCTAGAGGGCCCCACCTGCTGAGCGCCCTCCCGCTCGACCTTGGTCATCATGTCAATGTACATCGTTATCCGCGACCCCAGCTCCTTGACGCATTTGCGAAGGCTCTTCACCAGATCTGCATTCGGGAGGGGCATGTAAGCTGTGTTAACGCGGCACTGTGAACCCACATTGTGGCATAAATCTGGTGGACCCTGACGCAAAGGAGCACGGCAGGCCAACAGTGCAACAGCCTTGACACAAGTACTGCCGCTCATCCTACCCGCAAGCTCGCCAATCCGTGACTGCTCTGTTGCGCCGTGCTTGGTGCGCTTCAGCTGCCTGGTGAGGACCTCGTTCATGATCTGCTTAATGCCCAAGTCGAAGGTCTCAGCCGCGGTCTTTGCGGCTTTTGATGTGCCGATGGCGCCTGCCGGTATGCTGATAACGTCGTCAGCAGGTCCCTCACTGTGGCAACCTAGGCCCCCGTCATCATCATGATTGCTGCTGGTATCAGGGAAGGCTGATATGAGCTGTTGCGTAGGTTGGGCCTCGTGTCTGTTGTGTGGCAGTTGATAAGGAGCGCGATGTGCAGGCTGCAAGCTTGCGGCCAGAGCCTCTGGGTACCTCGGAGGGGTCGGTGCATTTGCAGCCGGAGCTAAGAGGCCTGCTCTTCCATTTAAGGAGTCCCGACGCGATGTCTGAGGTTGCGACTTGAAGGTTTGCAGGTCGCCAGCCAAAGTGGTCATTTTGTCCTGTAATGCCTCCAGAGAAGCGACATCTTCAGGCTTTCGAAGGATGCTCCGAGCAGGCTGTCTGTCCTTAACAAAGAAGCTCTTTGCGTGGGCCTCGGAACCTGGCTGGTTGTTCTCCTTTGTAGCAAGCCGTTCGATGATGCTTGCAACATGGCCGCCTGCCTCTTGAGCAGCTGGTGCAATCGTAACGCTTATTAGGACTCATTCCAGTAAGGGTGGCGCTATGGGCATTGGACTTGTGGAGAATGTGCGACGGCTGTTGTTCGGAACATTTCATACCATTCTGCAGTTTGAAAGTCAACAAAAGCTTCTGCACGGAACAAAACCTGTATAACAATAGCCCCTAATCTTTAGTAAAGCATACACGTCGCAATGCCTTGCAGAAGCCAGGTTCCAGGTAAGTGGCGAAGCAGGTACGGCTTAGTGGAGCCTCCTGTGAAACCACCGCAATAGTCAAGACCTCACCAGTCAGCAAAATCGTCTCGCCTGCATCGTCATCATTATCGCTGCTTTCATTTGCTTGGTCAACGGCAATCCTTTTAGCAGCAACTGGAGGTTGGAATCCCCTTCCACTTTGCAAAGGATTTGCTGCGTCCTCTGTGACCCTCGAGGTGCCCACCTGGCCTCCTGCCTTTTTCAGTGCCCAAACAAGAGTGCATCGTATGCACGCACGCTTAAGCCACTGGCAAGAAACATGAAAAGCTGCGTTGCAAAGATGTCACTGTCCCGCTGTAGGAAACATGCGCTTCTCTTGAGACTGCAGCTTCGAATCCTGTCCGGGGATGTTGGGGAGGGGGCATGGCAGCACACGTGGAATTGCGCCGACCTCCAAACCGCGGCACGACAAGAGACAACACACTGTCTATTTGCGAGTTTCACTCGCTGCCCACCAGTAGACTTTTCCGCGCCTTGCGCTAGCGGCCCCTTACACTAGGAGCTAGCAGCTTCATAAACGCTGCATGATGCCAACTTTTCAATGCCATCCATGCCCTTCCCATAGGGGCTCTCTTTCCAGAATGCAGCACTGCCAGGCTCTCATGTTCCTACTCGCGCACACCAACGACTCAGTCAATGATACCAACCTGCTGGGGCGGCAGACTCGGCGGCGCCATGCGCAGACCGCTTGGCTTGTGGTACAAACCTGCAAGGGCAAAGGCACATCTATATAACCCATGTCCATCCTGCTCTTACCCACGCATCCCTTTGCTGCGCCAGTACAAGAAGCACAAGAACCAGCCTTTCCAGGAATTGTCCCCGTAACCACATCTGCTGCCACGCCTCCGTCGTCCAGCAATCGCGCAACCTAAACCGGCGGTAGCGCTGACCCACGCACATCCCACCTCGTAACACCATGCCGGCCCGGGCGGCCGCCAACTACGCCGCTGCCGCCAGCAGCCCCTCCGCTCCTGCCCAGCACGCCCTGCAGCACTCCCCAGCACGTGCTGCGACACAAGCCCCACGTCCTCCTGCAACAGCACGGCCTGGGGGCGCAGGCACGCCCCAGCAGCGCATCATCCAGTCCTTACTTTCTTAGCGAGCATATCACCAGGAAGGGCCGCAACTCAATACGACTAGAGCAGGAGAATGGGATAGGTAGTTCACTTCACAACGGTGGCCGGCCGATAACAGCTTCCCCCGAAGACGCCGAAGCAAGCATGCCGTGCCTTACACGTGCGGCTCATCCCCCTCGCTCCCTTCCCTGCCTCACACCTGTACTCCCGCGTCACAAAGGCCCCGAGCTGCGGGTCATCTGCCCGCCGCACGGGGCCCCTGATGCGGGCCGGACTCCGCCCCCGTGCCGGCCCCGACTCCTCCCGGTCTCGCTGGGTTGGGAGCCCGCTGGCAGCCGGGGCCTGGGTAGGGAGCCCTCCCTCGCTGGCTGCGGTTGCGACGGCGCGGCGGGTTGTGGCTGCTGCTCTTGTTGTTGCTGCTGCTCTTGTTGTTGCTGCTGCTGCAACGTGCGTTGCTCACCCCCCGGCTGGCTGCCTTGCTGCTCCTCCTGGTGCGGTGGCTGTTGTTCTCGTGGCTGCTGGTTGGAAGGCGGCCTGATGTAGAGGGCTCTGCGTCGCCGGTGCGCAGCTGAGAGCGCGAAGCCTGCCCCAGTACCCCCGCAGCCCCGCTGCTTAGCCTCCGCGTCTACGTATTCGACCCTGCGTGAGTGGAGGCAAGTGTGCAGGCATTGGCAGCGGCTATGTACGCTCTGCAACTGACGTAGGGCGGCGATGATATCTGGCGTGCAACGTTGGGCCTGAACCAACGAACTTCCGTCTGTGGCGAGCTGTCGCAGCTCGCAGCACGCACTTCCCGCCGTGGCACGCAACCACCTGTTCCCCACAACTCATACTATTTTATTAATATGTGCCTACCGAAAGGAGTTGAGGACGCAGTCGTAGAGGATGTAGGTGTACTGTTGCTTACACATGGGGCATCTATAGTCCGGGCGTCCACCGTCCTGTCCAAAACTGCCAGGGATTGGATGCCGGCGTTGCTGACTTGTCCATTCGCTAATGCACGTGTGGCAGAACCGATGGTAACAAGAGCCAACGTACGCCTCGTCTTCTAGAGAAATGGCCTGATAACAAATTGGGCAGTCCATAGGCAGTAGTACAGGTTACCGTGCTCAGTGCAATAATGCTTGATCTCTGTGAGTGGCGAACCAACCAGAGTAGTACGCTATGCTCAGCTCGTACGACGTGCTGTGCCCGGGAAACGAAATGGGCAACAACTCATCAATCTTAAGAACTCTTAGGTTGACGCAATAGCAAGTGCAAAATTTTGCATTGTTTTGCGGCTGCGAACTTGGGCGTCGTGCAAGCCCGACCTAGACCTCTGTACACTTGTGGCAACGTTGCCCTTGCATGTTATTAGGCCATACTTAAGCGATCTACAATGCCCCGTGCCCTTTCACTTGCGCTGTTAGCCCCGCTGCTTTTACTTGCGGCGAGCGTCGGAACGGTTGAGGGAGCCCAGCGCCGGCAGCAACGCCGTCGTCGGCAGGTGGAGGTTGGATCAGGTTAGCCCGTTGAGTATAGCGAGTTTCTTGTTATTGGACAGCAGCGATTGCCCAGAGTGGCGGCAGTTACAACTGTCCTCTGGCATACGTGCTTGTTTGGGCCGTGTGCCTTGTACGCCTTCTCCTTGTCATACACGCTCGGAAAGGTCATCGCAGGTTCGCAGCCAGCTACACTCGATGTGGCCTCACCGTGGCGATCCCACTCCATGCCTTTCCGCCTCAAACAGCTGCCGTACCGGTAACCATTCGTTCAACCCTGCTTTCGCGTAGGGCCCACATCGGAACAGATATGGGATACGGGGCTCATGGAGACAAAGCTCTCACACGTCAGCATGCTGGAGGTCAGTTAAAGAGATTGGGGGGATAGAGATGAAGGGGAGTCTGACGCTAGCCTCACTTGACAATATAGCAGAAGGAGTCCTAACGCTTTATCGCGTTATACGTTCCTTAGAAAGCGAGACAACTCACATGCATGTGGCCATACCCGTGCGCACGCAGAGAGGCCGGGAATACTACGACGACACAACTGTACGGCGCTTTAAGGGCTTTGTCCTTGGCTACGTGACCCCCTGGTAAGCGGTCTACCACCGAAACACAAAAAGGCTAGTAGGGGCCGCTTTGGTATTCCAGGGGCAAAGTGTAAGGGGGCATTCGGCGCGGTTCGCGTATGGTAGGCCGCTGGCGTGTACCTGGGGCATGCCATGTTCCTACGCATACCGGTATCGCATATGCGCGGCACCTCGTTATTGCCATGCGGGCCGTACATGACGGGCAACGTACGACAACGCGGCTGATGCGTTGTGTACTGCAGGAACCGCGGTGGATATATGAATGCCGTAACCTTCCGTCACAAGCTGGATGCGGTGGCCCCCGTGTGGTTCCAAATTAAGATGCCGGAGGGTCAAGCTGCACCCACCATCACCGTAGGTGCCCGGCTTGGAAGCGTAGCCGAGGATGCTTTATCCGTGGTATTGCCGCAGACGCATAGGCGCGAAACGTGCGCAATGCAGTGCGCGTTTATCGTAGTAGCAACTTGTACCCAAACACCCTCCCTTGCCGCCCTGCGGAACGCACGGCCGGTTTCCGCTGCAATGAACACCTGCTGCGCCGGTGTGGTTGCAGGGCACCCATGAGATCAACCAGACGTGGATCTCTGAGCTTCGGGAGGTGGGGCTGGGCGGCGAGGTTGGGGCTTACTTCGGCTTTGGCGATGGGCACAGAGGGTGGCATACCATTGCAATGCATGGTGCAGCTTGCCATATGGCCACCAATGGTACCGGTTACCTAAGCAAGCTACTTGGGGGGCCTTAACGGCTCAGGCTTTTACGGGGGTCAGTTACCATACTGGCCCTGTTTTGGCACTTTGCGCTGTGTAACTGTTCCCGTCGCCGCAGCGACCTGTGCCCGCACCCCTGACCTTCCACTACTGCTGCATGATGCTACTGCTGCCCGCTGCTGCTGCTGCCAGGGTGGCCGGGGTCCGCTGGTGGTTCCGCGCTTCGTGATTGAGGCGGAGGTGCCGCAACACGTGGCGATGGTCCAGAACCCGCGTGCGGTGCTGGAGGCTGTCAGAAAGGTGGTAACAGAGAACAACTTTGATGGCATGGTGGGTCGGGGCGCGGGATGATTCACCGTTAAGTTCTCTACAGGTGGGCTTGGGAGGAGGGCTTGGGTTACGTTTGTTCGAGGGTGTAAGGTGCAGTTGCGGTTGAAGCTAACCAAAGAAGGGTGTAAGAATGGGTGCAATTGCTCGCCGCCTGGGCAATGACGTGTGAGCGCTTAACCTTGACAACCGGGGACGGCGCGAGCAACGCAGGGTGCTTGAGACGTGGGTTGCCTGGCAGTCCTTCAACGGTCTGTCTAACGACATGTTCAAGAAGGCTGCCATGCAGCTGGTTTCGGGGGCTGGCGGAGGCGATGCACAGCAGCGGCGGCAAGGTGCTGGGCTGGGGTGGGGCCCTGCTGTAGTGCCTTGCGTGTCCATGCATCCCATTTCCAGCCCTGCCTCTTCTTGTCCTGCGTGCCACCGCCACATCGTAACTGCAAGCATCAGCTTTCTGTCCAAGTGCACCTCTCCCATGCGGGCTGGACCCTGACCTCCTCACGTTGAATCTGGACGGTGCCTGCCGCCTCCTCCGCCCTTGCAGAAGTTCTTCTTGGCTGTTCCGCCGCTACTGCCGGCCACGGAGAAGAGCCCTTGGCTGGCGCGGCAAGACTTCCTTGATGTGGGTCGGGTTGGTTTGATTCGGCATGGAAGTTGGGAACGGAATACCATGTCGGGGAATAGGCACCCTGTGCCCAACGTTAGGTAGAAAAGGTACACACGGCAATCTTCGCCACATCCCACAAACCACGCAGCGCCCTCTTCTGTGCTTGTTTCCGAGGTGCACGGGTCCCACTCCCGCGTTCCCGCCTGCTCAGACCGCCGCCTCCTGTATCCCACCCTACCTCTTTTACTGTCTTGCTCCCCTTCACGCGTGCTTCTCCCTTGCCTGCCTCCCTCCGCCCCGCAGCTTGCACCCCACGTTGACGGCTTCTCGGTCATGACCTACGACCACAACACAGCCACGGGGCGGCCTGGGGCCAACTGCCCGCTGCCCTGGCTGCAGGCCAACATAAAGCACATGGAGAAGGGGCCAAGTAAGAAGGGCGAAGGGGCGTCGTGGGCTTGGGAGCGCGGAAGCTGTGCGCGCAGACACACACCAGTCGTTGCGCACCCGCATCTGGTGCCCGGGGACAGGCTGTCTCCTCTATGACATATCGCTGTGACTCCCGGTAGAGCTTCCGGCGCCTAAAGCCTTTCTCCGCTTTACTAGCGTACGATTGGGTGTGTCCTTTTCGCAGAGCGTTCGAAGGAGCCGCCCCTGCCAGAGGCAGTGCGCCCGCGTGTGCTGCTCGGGGCGAACTTCTACGGTTGGGATTTTGCGCCCTCCCGCGGCGGCCTGGCTGCGGTCACCGTCTCCGACCTCGTTCCGCTGCTGCAGAAGCACCAGCCGGAGCTGAGGTGGGACGAGGGCGTGGAGGAGCACACGTTCCAGTACCAGGTGAGGACGGCTGAGATTGGGCAACGAGGTGGTTGGTTGGCTGCAGGCTTTGTGGTTTAAGATATTTGAAGTGTGTACGATAACATTCGGTTAGTGGGGTTATGCCGCTGGAAGACCTCTAGTACAAGCTGACCCTAGTAACGTGATAACCCTGATAAGGGAGTGCATGGTTGCCGGATACGCAGGACAAGGAGGGCCATGTTCACCACGTTTGGTACCCCACGCCCCGGAGCTTGGAGGCGAGGTTACAGGTGATTCTGGTGTCTCTTGGCCCGCCTGCCATACTTGTCCAAGCAAACATCGCCTGTTGCGCTGCGGCGTGTGCGGGATTCGTTTTCCGTCAAGTGGCTCATGTCTGACTAGTCTCTTTGTGTGCGGCTTCCTTTGCGCAGGTTGCGCGCGATGCTGGCGTGGGAATCTCTGTATGGGAACTCGGCCAGGGCTTGGAACGCTTCTTCGACCTCTTGTGATTTGCTAATTGTAACACCCATCGGCCATCGCAGGGTCTCCAACAAACGCTGGCCAATTGCACGATTAACCGACCATTTGATACAAACATGGCGTTTGTAACATAGACGTTACAAGTGCCAGGGATCGCAAGGTTAACGTGCATGCGTAACGGTGGGCCATCCGCATGCCGTAAATCCTTCGACTCTTGCAACATGTTGTTCCGAGTAGTTAAAGGAATCAGTTTGTCCACTTCCTCTTATGCTTGTAGAGTCATCGTCGTTGTAAGTTGAGAAATTGCTGAAGCTCTGCAAAGAAAGGTGCCGTTACACAGCAGTCAATCACTCCTGCAGCGCGATTACAAGGACTTAACTGTAAAAGAATGGAGACGACAGGGAACCAGACCATATCCCTCACGATGAACCCTCTGGACGAGTCCATGCGGAGGATGCAGGGATACGAAGTTACACGACAACCGCAGGGTCAATCTTTGCCAAACTACCAAGAAGGCATATTTACGTATAAGGGAAACCGGCAAACTCCGTGGAAGAGCGAGCAAACCCACTCCTACAGCCACCCAAAGGTAAGTGCTGCAAAGTTACTTCCACATACAGTGTATTTCCAAGATCTGACCAATAACTAGGAGGGATAACTTCGAACGTCATGTTGACACGCTTGCCATTATAGCGGCCTCCCATCCAACCGCTCCATCTGTGCCCATCTCTCCCCTGAACTCTCTTCCCCTAATGCAGGAGTATGTTGGACGCATTCTGAACGGGTCCCTGGTGCACACTGGCGGCAATACGGAGATGGCAATGACGACGCACCACACGCTCGAGCGGCCACAAATGCCGCCTGGAACCATCCGCAAATCCTTTTTCACGCAGCCTCAGTACGTGCCCACGGAGGACCCCGCGCTTGACGTGAGTTGCAGGAAATGATGATGGGGGGGCTGGTTAGGAGGGAGGACGGTGACGTTGCTGCAAAAGGAGGGTGACTGGTGCGCCTGCTGTGGACGTGCAACAGGCTTACCTTGGCTGTCGTCCGCGTTCCTGCACGCAAGTATTGTTGCAAAGGGTGGTGTCGTGGGGGTGATGGACCGAATCTGGCTGAACCAGAGGTCCCTCCTGTGCACTGATGATTGGGGTCGGCTCGTGGTGGAGTGCACTGCAAGGCAGAGGAGTGGACTCGGGGCCTGGTCCGATGCCTCCGAAGCACCTCCCACTGCCAAAACCCAGTTTCAAGCGACGCTGCAAACCCCCATAACGCCAAGTGCCCGCCCCACTCCAACCCATCTCGGTCCTCCCCACTCATCCCTCTCCCTCCCTCAGGAGCTCCACGCCGTGGCGCACACCATCGCCCCCCGCCTCTCCGAGCTGCTCTCCGCCTGCCGCGCCTACCACCTGCACTCCCCCGACGGCTGGATCACCACGGGCGGCTTCATGAGCGCGGCACGCAACGCGGGGTTGGAGCTCAGCCGGGCGGAGTTCCTAGCCCTGGAAGCGGGCGATGAGCAAGGACGCCATGGGTCGCATCAATTACCTTCAGCTGGAGCTGCTGGTGATCAGCATCGCGGCGGCGGACGGGGGCGACGCGGGGGGCGACGGCAACCAGTGATGACTGATGAGATACGGGAGGATGGCTGGATGGGGGTTCGGGATGTGGGTGGGAAGGAGGAGAGGACGTGGGTGAAGGGCTGGGGAGTTGGGGGATGCGGGAGTGGGCGCCTGTGGGGGTTATGGAGTGGTAGGGGAGGGACTCGAGGGAAGGGATTGGGGTGCCCCCTTCCCATGTGAAGAGGGGCTCATATAGGGTGCAGGTGGAGCTGCAGGCCTAGCAGAGATGAGGGACCGGGATCGGGGCAGGGATGCATGTGCGCGGGCATGACAGCTTGACAGGTTGCATTCACGGCGTGGGCTGGAAGCAGGAAGTGCGAGCAGGTCATGTGATGCAGGCGAACGTGCACGACACGAACGGCAGGTGGATTAGTAACCGGGACAATGTAGTTATTTACAATTGTACATCTCGTGAATCCGCAGAACAGAGCAGTGATTTCGCAAGCCGATATGCTTGAAGTGAGTTTGGGACCTCCTGGAATCGTTGTGTCGCTTGGCGGCTGAGATGTTCGTACTAGGCAATGTGAATTGCTCTTTCCCTTCCTTGAACTATCTGTATTCGCCTGGGGGCGAAAGCTAGCTCTCCATGAGGGCATCTACTCGTTACTTGGCGCGGGGACGGAGTTCAATCAGGAGTTATATATACTTCTCGTGGGGTTTGGCCATCATGGGACATAGGCGAAAGAACCATGGGCGCGGCAAAGTTTATACACTGTTACATTGACCCATGGGTCCTTACAAGTGTATGCCATGATACCCCTTGGCCGTGTGGAAACGCCTGTAGCGTCCTTGAAGGTGAAGACTGGGAGGCACACTCGCCTCGGCCTCAGCAAGTTGCCTTCCTGTGCTCCTGACGGATGACATGCAAGGTCCGCAGCCCTCCTTTCCCTGCGCCCGCCTGCGCACACACGCCCATTGAAGCACAACACACCATGCACCTTCATAGTCATAGCAGACACACAAAGCTTCCGTGCCTTCGACATCCCACGGCTAGTTCTCCTAGCAACGACTGGCATTAGCATAAGCAGTCCAGTACAACCCCTCGGGGCATCCATCCGCTACTCTCCACCCTACCCCTGCACGAACGCGGTATCCATCCAACACCGTCCGACACCCGAAGGCCGAGTTCCCCGAAGGCCAAGAGCCAGAAGCCTCCTTGACCCGCTCGCAACCGCTTTATACCAAGCTTGCGTGCCTCCCACTCTTCTCGCCCTTCTGGTCATCCAGATCCCATGCAAGCTCCTCTTCCCGCCGCTCCTCCTCCTCCTCGTCGTATTTCCCACTCCCGCCCAGCTACCAGCGATTTTTTTTTCGATTTTCCGGAGGATTATTTTTTTACTATGGGAGTAATAAGATCCCAGCCCCAGAGGTTTGGTTATTACCCAAAACGTTTGCCACTGGGGGGGGGCTCCGCCCCCCCCAGACCCCCCCCCTGTAGTCCAATTTCAGCGTGCCTTAGGACTGAGTTTGGCAGCACTATACCCCATACCAGCGCCACTCCCCATTGCTCTGGCCCTTGACGGCACGCTGCTGCTTCCAGCGTGGCTTCGCGAAGGCTCCACTATCCTTGTCCCCGTCAAAGAAAGGCCCATATCATCTGGTGTAGAGCACTCTGCCCGGTCAAGGATGCCAGCCTGACAGCCTGAGAATGCTCGCCGACAGGCTTCATGGCCCTGGCTTCATGTACCGCCAATACTATAACTGATACGGGGCCTTCGGCCCCTACACTCTTGGCTCGGGGCCTTCGGCCCCTACACTCTTGGCTCGGGGCCTTCGGCCCCGAGTAATAGCCGTACCGTGCGCCCTCGTTGCTTGTGATTTTCTTATTACTTTCCCCCACGAGCAAGGGATTTATTTATTACCCAAAAAGTAAATGTATTACTCAAAAATTATCGCTGCCAGCTACTCCTCCTCACTGACGAGGTCGACCTCCTCCTCCTCTTCCTCCTCTTCCTCCTCACTGACGAGGTCGATCATGTCAACCTCACGCCCCTCCGTACCATCGTGCGCTGGCGCCTCCTCCTCATCTCCAGAAAAGGTCCTCCTGCTCCTCCTGCCCCTCCACCCCGGAATCCACCTCCCATTCGTCTTCGAGTTCCTCCTCACCCTCCTCACCCTCACTCTCCTCCTCCTCCTCGTCACCCACCAGGTCCACCTCCTCACCCCCACGCCGCCTTCCACCTCCGCACGGCCTGCGCCGCCGCCTCCCACACCGCACTGCGCACCCGACCCTGCCCCGCCACACCGCCGTCCCGCACCTGCACCTTCACCCCCGCCGTCGCCTGCCGCAGCTCTCCCGCCCATGCACCCGCCACCAGCGGCGACACGCTGTCCGCAAGCAGCCGCTGCTCCTCCGCCCGCTGATCACGCACCGCCTGCCAAGCCCTCCTCACCACCGCCTCAGCCTTCTTCTTGGCACCTGCAGGCGAGTGACGTGCCCTCGCCGCTGGCCTGCTGGCCGGGCGGCGCCGCGGCAGGCAGCAGCTCTGCGTAGTCTGCGTCGGGTTCCCCCGCCCACACCTGCCGGGCCGCCTCCAGGTCCTCGAGCGCCATTTCAATGACCAGGTGGTACGGCAGGATGCCGCCGGGCAGTGAGGCCAGCCGTACGCCTGCCGTAGCTGCAGCCGCTGAGCAAATGACGTAGTAGTCGGGGCTGCCCTGTGCATGGATGGGGGTGGGGCCGTGGGGGCTGGATGGTTATTGAGAGGAGTATTGAAGGTTGGAGGTGTTGGGTTACCAGCAGTGGTTTAGAACTGTGGATGGGAGTAGATGGGGAGGGATTTGCGAGTAGCTTAGCAGGTACTGGACCGTCTAATGACCCAACCGCAGCATAACCCAGCAATCCGCAGCCCCGGAAAACCACGGAGGGCTATGCCTTGTTCCCTCACCGCACTTCGAACACCTCCTTCAACCATCCAAACGAGCCACGCATGCCTTCCCCATCGGACCCAACCTCCCAGCTTACGTGCATGCGCATGAGCTCCCGCACTGCTAGGGTGCGGTTCGGGCGCCAGTGCACGATGCGACGGTATGCGGCTCGGGGGGCAGCTGTCGATGACTCCCAGCACGCGGTTGCGTCCGAGCCGGGTGTAGCCCTCAACCTGGCCCCGGGTTCTCTGCCTCCTGTCCCCTTGTGCCCGGCTGCCATGGATGGGTCAGGGTTAGGCGTGGGGGTGGGGGCAACGCAGGCAATATGGGCATCGAATGAGCATGCACGCTGGCCAGCTTGGCAGCGCTCCCCCTGTGGGCCCCCGTGCGTAACATTGTTGGGAACAACGGCGGTGCTGGCTTTCCAGGTGAGGTCAACTCTCAATGCCGCACCCGCTTAATACACGCCAGGGCTTGCCCGGCGTAACTTTCACTTCCTTGGCAACGACTGCAGACCGTCACTCATTCATGCCGTGCCCTTGCTGGCCACGTGACCACCAACGTCAGTTCAATATGCAGTAGGGCGCGTAGTGTGTGCACAGGAAGCGCAAC